ATGTTTCATATGCAAACCTGCACATTTCTGCAACCTGCAACACTCAGTTCCACTTTGTGATGTCACGTGGTAATACAGGAAGTGCTCCGTTGTCAGTGGCATGACAGGTTAAATTTTTGGTTTAATACAACAACAGACAAGACAATTAATTTATAATAATAATAATAATAATAATAATAATAATAATATATACATAAAAAAATTAAATAAGTGAGAAGGAAGACAAAAAGAAAAATTAAAACGTTTAAGTAATAATATAATAAAATGAAAAACATGAAGTAAAGGGTTCCATATCTTTCCCTTTTTCTTCTTAGATTTGATTATATTTAGGATATTTTATTTTATAATTAACTAATTAATTAATTTACTTGTTAATTAGGTAAATAGAAAGTAAAATAACCTAAATAAATCTAAAAATGTCTGGAAATGCCATAATGTAGGTAAACGTTACTTTCGGTTAATGTTTTTTTTGTGGCAAAATGCGTGTGTGAATGTGTGTTGTATTCTTCAGCAGCTTCATAAATCTGCCCCAACACCAAATCTTCATCCAACAAAGGATCCACAAAAAAATAAACATTCTACCATCAAGAATTTATCCACAACTATCAAGGGAAGAAAGACGAAAACTTAAAGGAGAACAACGACGACACATTAAAGGTGAAGTATAGTTCTGCAGTCGCCTTGTCGCCGTCGTTTTTGATTTATGGATCTGCGTCGAGGTCTGTGCACCGCAAAGTAATTCACCACCAAAAGGCTAGGGGGCTAGGATATATGTCCATTCATAAATACAGTCTATGCGTGTGACCTGCAGACGTATAATCTCTGAAAAGTTTCACACGAACCATCTCCAACGCGATAGAAGCACAGAACAGACTCACCATCAGCAGAACACCCCTCTGTCACAGAAAGAACACTCATATTCCACTGAGTCGTGTCCTTTTTAAGTCCGATCTACCACGTCAGGGAACAAGGAGCGAGCTGTTTTTTGAGCGCAAATTAGCCATGCGGTTTTAAGTTTCGTTTCTGTAAAACGTAAACAAATATGCACAAAGCTGCATCAAACCCATTATTTCTCAACATATATTGAAAGAAAGGAAAGCCGAGTACAGGAAATGTATGTGGAGTGGTGGTAGAGATGACCAATCACAGCCCTTATCGTCGTGCGTCGCTTCCCCTGCTGTCTGCATCGTTTTGACACGTAGTTAGAAAATTTCGGAGATGCACGTGAGTCGACGCAGAAGCTCTGTGTCATGATGCAGACGATTTGACGCTGGACCGTAAATTGGCCTTAAGTGACAAAGTGGACAAACTAATGTTATGGTCATGAATAAAACAGAAGGAACTTGTTCACTCAGACTGATTCTAGAATTAAAATTTAAAAAACTAATTTTATGATGTCGATAATTGCGCAGACAGAGAGATTTGTGCAGTTTAAGTAACAGTTCTTCACTCACCTTTACCCAACAAAACAACTGAGTTTCCTTTAACAATTAGAATTTTCAGTTTAAACATCCTCTTCCTCTGCACAACTTGACCTTGACCTTGAAGGTTGCATGGCAGCTTTTATGATTCTTTAATTTTGCTTTAATTTGCTGTGATAATGCCTGTTGTAAATATAAATTATAGTTTTACACAAATCAAGAAGCAGTTTGTGAAGAAAAGCTGAAAAATATGTTGAAAATTACACATGATGAGAATTCTGTCCAAATGTTCGGCACAATTTACACAAGAAACACATTTTTCTGAAACTTTAAACATAATTTCAACAAAAATAAAGGTGTTTTTTTGGATTTTTATTTGTCAAGTTTCTGTGTACAATAGAGGAGTTTTGGCCCAGTGTACACGGTTGCTAGGTAACAGTTGTAGAATTCCCTAGTGTGATGAATATGATAAGATTTTTATGATATAATGATCTTTATCTTAATCATCTTATCATCTTAATGATCTTAATGATCTTGTGTTTTAGTGAAATGAGTAGCCAAACTGTCTTTATACCCCGACCTGCCGCTGCACGTTACCATGGCAACGTCCACTCTAGCTTTTGTATTGACACTCCTCAATACCGCACATTCTCGTACACACCTTACAAAATTGCAATAACATCAAACTTTTTTTTATCACGGAATCTTTAACAGCCGTGATTGCCCCAACTACAGTTACGAGTACAGGGCTTTTCTCACATTAAACTTTGTCAGGAGGCGTGGGCTCGATCAAAGTACCAGTTTTATTGCGATACTGGCGTGGAACAGCTCGTATTCGTGCGCGTCGACGCCCAACTTGGGAGTTGAGAGGGGTCAAAAATCACCGTCGACCTGGGCCCACCCAAACACGCCCAGCTCATATCATCAGTTATACATTCACTGGTTTGCAACATCACCTCTCTACTGTATTCAGCCATATATTACTGTCTGTGTACTCGGGAAGTACTCTTGGGAAGTACAAGTTGAGCAAATACTGGTTTTGTTAGTGAACACAAAACTTATCCTTATGAGCTTTAAGTCATGGTCTAATTCTGTTATCTCCTCAAAAACAAACCTGGAGTTGTGTTTTGTTTCATTCATATGTTTGATGAACCCTTTATGTTTATTCTGTCTACAGGGGTCAGGGGTCGGCAACCAGCGGCTCCAGAGCCACATGTGGCTCTTTCATCCTTCTGTTATGGCTCTCTGCGGCTTTGAGAAATAAATAATTAGTATTTAATTATAAAGGATTTTTATTTTAGTTTGTTCGTTTTTAAACGTAATTTAAAATTTCTGACTAATGGTAATCTTGTAACATTCAAATAAAATGTTTATAATATTTTTGTCACTCAAACTATGCGTCACAGTCGCCGATGTGCACAGATCTGACAGCCCGACACCTACACCAGCAGTATGATTTATTGGGCTTTTCAACCCCTGGTAGGTAAATGATGAATAAATCCAACAACCAAGGAAAGTTTCTGAAGAAAACAGAACATTTACGTCAGGGCCGAGGAGACTGGTCTACATGTGATAAAATGATAATGAAACACAGAAGCAGACGGTGTTCTTGGGTCGCTGCGGGTGGATCATTTAAGTTTGGATTTTTATTTCTTACGATGAGAAGTCAAATAGACATTGAGTATTTCATTTGAAATAAGCATCAAGTGTCTTTTTTCAGGGTTCAAAATGTTTTTGTTACATGAGAAATAAAATTCTGTGTTCTCTGTAGTATTTCACTGATTTCATAAATGCAACACACTTTAGTCTTTTATATAAAACAATGATCTTCAGCATTCTCCTCATTTTAGAGTCAAAAGGGTTTTGTGGCTCCAGGTGTTTTCTTTTCTGTGGGAGGCACTGGCTCTTTGAGTATTTAGAAGTAGACCTCTGGTTTACATGAGGCTATTATGACCACTGATCTACATCTAAGCTCCAAATGCTCTGTTCCACCTCGTGATGCCATGAAGCTGTAGTTTTCAAGAGAACAGCTTCTTTTACCTTTTGAAAATGTCATTTTCCAGGCCTGGAAAAGTTTGAAATTGTAGTGTCTCTTTCACGCAAATACAGCATTCTGTTAAGTTCTCATTAGGGGTGTGTAAAATATTGAAATATTGATATATCATATTGTTTAATGTGATGATACAGTATCGATACCGTGGGCTGCTGTATCGATTTACCACCAAGAGAATTTTTAGGTATATTTTACAAAATTATTTTGTGTAAGAGCTACAGTTGTGTTGACATTTTCACTGTTATGAGTAAAATGGATGTTTTTCATATTTACTCTGCACAAACTTAGTGGACTTAGTCGATTTTTAGTATCACAGCCATGAGTTAACCTTTATTTTTCACAGAACCATATTGAATCAATTTGAAATATATCGTATCGAATTGTATTGAATCGAAAGTGCACTGTATCGAAAAACATATCATATCGTGGCCTATGTATCGAGGTGTGTATCGTATCAGCAACTTCTTAATGACACCCAGCCCTAGTTCTCATGAGGTTATTATTATTTCCGAACGTCTGCGTCTTTTGTTTAAAAGAAACAACAATAAATGCACTGACAGGATTTTGAATGTTCAAAAAACTACAATCCCAAACCAAAAGGTGAGTGGACAGAGTTCACATTTCATATTTAGCCCTAAAAGTCTGATCAGTTCTACACATGTAGGTGCTGTAAAGTCACTTTAGGTCATGAAAAAGTCATGGAAAAGTTTTGAAATTTTGTCAGTGAAAAAGAGTGGGAACCCTGGATTGGTAAATCCAGAGTTGAAATCATCCAGATGATTCTAGTGAAGGTGTATGGAGTTTGAAAGCACAGTGGAGCACTTTCTGTATCACCACATGACATCACAAGGTGGAACAGAGTGTTTCTGTTTGACAGAAGAACTTCTAAAGCTTAAATGTGCAGGTTTGTGTGTTAAACATGTGAGAATGAAACAAAACACAAGTCCAGGTCTGTTTGTGATGAAGGAACAACGTTAGAACAGTTCAGAAAATAGTGTCATATGGGCCCTTTAAAGCAACAGTATGTAACTTTTTGGAACCATGAAAATATGAAGTTAAAACTGTACTCACCAGATAAGATAATAAGATAAGTAAGTATAATATTTGCGTGTGTGTTTTTAATGCAATGAATAAACATGCTTTTGTAATAAATGTTTTTTTTTTTTTTTTGAAAGATTATTAAAATTGAAATGGAAGATGACATAATATATTCATTTAAAGAACATTTAAAGAAGTGGAAGTTCTGCCACCTGCTTCTCTCCTGACCTCTCACTGGTCTTGGTGGTTATCACGGGCTCATCTCCATGGAGACAGGTAAAGTTAGTGTTGTAGTACTCGAGACCGGTCTTGTTCTCGAGACATTTTTTTTTGCAGTCTTGGACTCATCTCGGACTTGAAGGCGTTTGGACTCGTCTTGTCTCGGTGTCGAGGTCTGACACTTGATGAGTGATAAAATGGAGATAGATATATATAAACATTGATATATATAAACACACACACATATATAGCATGGTATATGTAGCAGGATGGCGACAAAGAGAGGGAAGGTAGTCCACACAGAGGTGGTCTCACTCCCAGAGGGAACAATAGCAGATGTAGACAGTTACAAGTACCTTGGTATCCCACAAGCAAATGGCAACCATGGAAAGGAAAGCGGCTACGGCCAAATACCTGCAAAGAGTGAGACAAGTCCTAAGAAGCAGCTCAATGGAAGAACAAGGTGCAGACAATCAACAGCTCCGACCTGCCAGTGATCAGATCCCAGCAGGACTCATGCACTGGCCAAAGGAGGAGTTACAGACCACAGATGTTAAGACACGAAAGCTCCTGACCTGCATGGAGAGTTCCATCTCAAATCCAGCACCTTGAGACTGTACACAAGCCGGAAGGAAGGAGGCCGAGGACTAGTGAGTGTGGGAACCACTGTCCAGGATGAAACATCCAAGCAGATGAAACATCACAATACCAAGCGATGGTAATATCAGGAAAAAGGAACACGAGAATCTAGAGAAATACCAGGGGCTCAAGGAGGAGCTGGAGAGAGCCTGGAAAGTGAAGGCATTAAAGTCAATATTCTTGCAATTGCCTTCCTAATTTTTCACATTTGTCTGATGATTCATTTACCTTTGTATATAACCATCATGAGGCTCAATTATCAGTAAATTACTCAGTCATATTTTATCAAGTTATAAAAATTAATAACAGTAAGCGTGACTGCTATTTGCCACGGATATACCATAAGACGTGATACATTTAGAATAATAAAAATAAATTACAAAATGTTACAAAATGTGCTGAAAATCTACATAAACGATGACATCAAATAGTACAGAAACCAAGTCAAAGTCAAACTGTCGTGTCTGTGGAAATTTAATTTCCATAGACACCTCAGCATAACCTTCAGGTTTTCATCCACCCTTTCTCCACCCCGCCCACTGTCGCCTTTATAAGGGCCCTGGGTCTGAACCTTGGTCCTCTCATGCTAGCACGACCAGCGCTGGCCGTGATGGATGGATTATTGCGAATTTTAAGTGTGGTGTTTGTTCTGAGCACCTGTACAACACAAGGGCATGGGTGAGTCTGATTTTTTTTGTCATTTTATTTATGATTTGTCATAATATATAATTTTACATTATTATTATTATTATTATTATTATTGTGTTCACTTGTGCTTTTGTGTAACTCTTAAAGTTTTTTGATTTGTAACAAGTCAATATAACAAAATCAATATACTTTTTGAATACTGAAAAAGTGTATCAAGTATCAAGTGTCAGTATCAAGTGTCTTTTTTTTTTTTTTTTTTTGATTTCATTATATATAAATTATCATGGTTTTTTTGTATTTTATATATTTTAAAAAATATTTTCATTTATTTATTTTGTATTTTTTCTGTTCCAAACCACATATCCCTGGCTAACTTTTGTGTCCTTTTCTTTTCCAGCCTCCAGGACACACTTGCAGATGGAGGTAGGCTGTGTTTTCCATTGAACAGAAAGTGTTATGTTTGAGTGGGTTTTTGTTTATAGTGATAAAGGATGTGCTGATCTGATTGAGTGGACTTTAGCGGCTCGAGCTGTACACCTATACACCATAAACATAAACATAAATTATTAACTCAGAGTCATTCAGCACGTGTGGATATGGATTTTCAGTAAACACCCATTATTTATATAACGTAGATTATCATAATGTCTTATTAGGTTCATATCAGCCTCGTATCAGCGTCTTATCAGCGGCACTGGGGTGATACTACACTTCAACAGTAGTTAGAGGTGATCTGATACACCTTACTCACCTCAGATACTAATATCAAGAATATGACTCCTTCACTGCAAAAAACTAAATCCAGCCAAGTTAAGATGACTTGAATTAAGAAAGTTTGATCATGATTTGAGTACATTTCACTTGACAAATAAAATGATCTGCCAGTAGAATAAGACTTTCTGTACTTAAAATATGAAAATACATCTTGCTGCATGTAAAATAAGAAAAACAACAACTTTTTGCACTTAAAATAAGAAACTAAATCAAATGTTGCTTGAGTTAAGAGAAACAGACTTATTCCATTGGTCGATCATTTTACTCATCGAGTTGAATCGACTCAAATGAAGTCAAATGTTCTTAATTTAAGTCATTTTAACTTCATTTTAACTTACCTAGATATTGTTTTTTTTTTCCCAGTGTTGGCCTTTCTGTGTGAGTTTGCATGTTCTCTCTGTGTCTGAGTGTCTGTGTTCCTCTGGGCACTACAGTTTTCCCCATCAACCCAAAACATGCATCACAGCAAAGGTTGTCCCAGTGGCGCTGGATAATAAATGGGTCAAATGTAGAGAATGAATTTCCCTCTCAGGAGATTTTAAAAAGTATACCATAACAACACTGGAAAAAAAAAATCTAGTTAAATTACAATGAATTAAATTATGAACATTTGACTTTATTTGAGTCGATTCAACTTGACAAGTGCAGCTGTCTAACAATGGAACAAGTGTGTTACAAAGAGTTGTTTTTCTTCTTTAAAGTGTAGTAAGATGTATTTTCATATTTTAAGTACAAAAAGTCTTGTTCCACTGGCAGAAAATTGTATTTGTCAAGTGAAATTTGCTCAAATTATGATCAAACTTTTTTAATTTAAGTCATCTTAAACTGGTTAGATTTTGTTTTTTGCAGTGTAGTGATGCACCGGTTCGATACTGGATATCAGCACCGATAATGAAATACTTGCTCGATTGGATATTAGCTTCCATATGTCTGCCGATATTGTGGTTGGACAGATAAATGGATGTAATTAGACTAATTACTGGGTGGAGTTGGCCTTGAAAGTCTTATAATGTTTGAACTTTTATTCATAGAATGTTACTTGAGATAAATAACAGATACAAAACACTTTTATTAATTAAATACAGTTTTCCGTCTCTGACCAAATGACAGTCGGTATCGAGTATCAGCAGATAGTTGGAGTATAGTCACAGGTGGCACTACCATTAGGCAAAAGTAAGTGACTGCCTAGGGCCCCATCCAACTGCCATCAGTGAGTGCGTATACATGCACATCAATAACCCGGTTATTAGCCATACCCCGGTTATGTCAGTATTCGGGTTACTGTGTATTACATGCGCACTGAGAAACCGGGATACTCATATTCGCGTATACATGATCAAATGGAGTATCCCGGTTTCTTGACATAATCTTACAAATGCGCAGGCGCAAAAATGAACTTAAATCAATTTCATAAACCAGGAAAAACACAAACCGTGAGCTCCTTTAGCATAAGATGCTAAGGAGTTACGAGATCTCCCACAATCCACTGCGCAGATTCTTCATTAAAATCTTCTGCATAAATAAACTCAACTTTACAACATATAAACCATAAAGACTATAGAGCTACATCAGCCAGTTTGATCATATAATTCAGCTGTGATCACATTTGTTTACGTTTTACAGAAACGAAACTTAAGACCGTAGGCTAATTAGCATAAACTGTTAGCGGCGATAAAAACAACTTGCTCCTTGCGCCGCTGATGCGATCAGTTTCTTTGGGACTAAATGACACGACTCTGTGGATTATGTGTGTTATTTCTGTGACAGAAGAGGTGCTAATGATGGTAAGTGTGTTCCGTGCGTATACAGTATAGGAGATAGTTCATGTTTTAGCTTTTCAGCGTCACACGAGTGCAGGTAGTACGAGTGCAGATTGTACGTGTGCAGGTTTAGCGCAGCTCTTTATTTTACAGTCATTTCACTCGTTTGGTCACTTTATTTATGTTGGTCAATTTATTTATGTGACTACTGTTGTGGTGAAAGGCTGGAAAGTGTCTTTTGGACGCATGCGCACTCAACTTTATGTTGCAGTAACCGGGGTACTGCGTATACATGCCACAAGTATCCCGGTTACTATCGGAATAAACCAGCTACAGTAACCCGGTTTCTAATAACCGGGATACTGCCATAACCGGGTTACTGAAACCGGGTTACTGCGTATACATGCACCATCAAGAAACCGGGATACTCAAAAAACCCGATCATAACCGGGTTATTGATGTGCATGTATACGCACTCAGTGTGACTAATGGCCGAGGCTTCAGAGCAATTTGATTTTGTCTCAATACATGACATTAAATAAGAGTGCAACAATAATCATAAGAAAAAAAATTATAATCATGTGTAATGGATGTAAACAAAAAAGTAATTGTACTAGCAAAAAAATAAAACTTCTTTCAGTTCTGGTTATCTAATAGGCTTCCTAACTAATAAGTTTCCAATCCACCATAATTCAAAATAAATAAAGATGTGCAGGTTTCAAGAACAATGGAGCAAAACAGACAATAAATATAAAAAAAAGAAAGAAAACAAAACTGAAAAACGGTGCTTTATAGTGAGGGCCCCAAAGTCAAGATCGCTCAGGGCCTCCAAATCACTGACTCTGCCACTGGCTATAGTATCAAAAACAGTATCTGTGCAACTCTAATAACCTAATAATAACCTTAAGTGCCAGTTATAAAACAGTTTAGCTTTATAAACCATTTACCATTTGTTTGCTGTCACGATACTGTAAAAGAGATTTCACTTGCTGCTCAAATTTTCTTGAATGTTTTTAAAAGAATTTTGATTTGAAAAGAAAATAGGTTATGTAATTGTTTTTGTCTGAGTTGTGCTTTATGGTTACTCCATAAAGTGGTTACTTCATAAACTTAAGTTTCCTCCTCCCTGTAACCTTATCAAACATTATGGCCGTTATGCTATATTCACTTGTTAATCATTGTTTTTTCCATTTTATTTTGAATTGTCTTATGTTTGCTATAAAATGACAAACCCAAATCTATTAAAATGGAAGCCAGTTGTGCAAGACTTAAATCAAATTTCAAACTCTTCAGATAGGCTAATATAAAATGTCCTAACCTGAGTTGGTTTTTGATCGTCTGTTCAGGAGCAGAGCTGACCTCCTGTGACTTTAACCAGGACAGCACCCCCTTCTGTCAGTTCACCCAGGACACCACCGATGAGGGAACCTGGATTCGACACAAAGGAGAGACCCCCACCCCCGGGACAGGGCCCAGCGGGGACTACCCAGACGGAAGTGAGTACCCGTATCACACAAGAGGCTTTGGAGAGCAGAGCCTGAACCTGCACACAGAACATACAGTATATCTTATCTCTGTTTTCATTTAGTTTTATCATCACAAACAGAGCTGGAGTTGTGTTTTTGTTTCATTCACACATGTTAAACTCACAAACTCTGAAGATTTAGGCTTTATTTTCTCAAACATAAAACACTCTGTCATGTCATGTGGTAATACAGAAAGTGATCCACTGTGTTTTTAAACTCCATACACCTTCTCTAGAGTCATATGGATAATTTCAGCTCTGGAATTGCCAGTCTTTACTGAACGAAAGGTATCAATTAATGTGAAAACTACCACTTCATGACATCACAAGTTGGAACAGAGCATTTTGAGCTTTGGAAATGTAAACAGACTAATCCAGATTACTCAAAAATGAGTGAATGAATTAAAAAACACAACTCCAGGTCTGTTTTTGAGGAACATGATTCTAACATGACTGAGGTGTTAATCTGCGGAACAGTCTGGATGAAACATTAAAAGGCTCTTAAACTATTTACACATTTAAAAATATGTATAAGACCAGAATTATAGAGAAATACAGTAAGTCATATTTTACCTCATGGAATTTACAGATTAACTATAACACTAAATTGTATGAAAAGTATTTTTAAACCAATAGGTATAAATATTAACATGTACATGGTCAGTGTGTGTGTGTGTGTGTGTGTTGTTTGTGTGTGTATGAACATCAATGTATATTGGTTTGTGTTCTGAATGTGACAGTCTTTTGTGATGTCACTAACTTCTGGAAATTGCAGAGGCCACTGGAAGCAGAAGAAACTTAGATTTAGGCTTTTTGACCTGAAATCTTCAAATTTGTCTATGGTAGTTTGCACTAAATTTGCCAAAATAACCAAGAACAGTAGATAAAGCTATTCAAACACCATATTCCACTTTGATTTGCCCAACAGTTCCAAAATGGTTCTGCATGCCATTTTCACGACTTATCTCTTTTTGAAAATGAGGAGAAAAGTGAATAATCTTCTTGCTTATAGGGGGATACTACATCTACCATGAATGTGACAGTCTTTTGTGATGTCACCAACTACTGGAAATTGCAGAGTGTACTGGAGGGCAGACTTAGATTTAGGCATTTTAACCTGAAGTCTTCTCATGTACCTACAGTAGTTTGCACAAAAGTAGCCAGTAGATAATGCTATTAAAACATCATATTTTACTTTGATTTGTCCAGTGTTTCCAAAATGGTTCTGCACACCTCTTTCACGACTTATCTAGTTTTGAAAATTAAGAGAAAATTTTATGAAACTTCTTACTTATAGTGGGGTACTACATCCACCATGAATGTGACAGTCTTTTGTGATGTCACCAACTACTGGAAATTTCAGAGGCCACTGGAAGCAGGAGTTAGATAAAAGTTAGATTTAGGCGTTTTGACCTGAAATCTGCAAATTTACCTGCGGTAGTTTGCCCAACATTTTACAAAATGGTTCCGCGTGCCTCTTTCACTAGTTTAGTTTAGTTTTGACCTGAAATCTGCAAATGTACCTTGTTTGCACTAAAATTGTCAGCAAATGAAATCAATGAAAATCAATCTCCTTGCTTGTAGAGGGGTACTACATCTACCATGAATGTGACAACGTGCCAAACAAAGGGAAAGCGCGAGTCCTGAGCCCCGACCTGTCGCCGACGGCTCCCCAGTACTGTATCCAGTTCCGGTACTACATGTACGGCAGTGACAGCGAGAATGCTCTCAGAGTTTTGGTGAAACAGGGCAGCAGTGAGACAGAGGTGTGGAAGAAGACGGGCTTCCAGAGTCCCTCCTGGCTCAAGGGTGCGATCACTGTGGCCTCACCCGGCAGTGGGAGTGTCAAGGTAAGTGTAAACTTGTTTTTCTCATTTGTCTTTATTCATACATACAATGAGAGTACTAGTCTTTTTTATGACCTCTGTCGATTTCCCATTCATTTTTCCCATAGACTCTTTGTAAATTTCTAATATTATGCTGTGTAACGTTTCTGGAGAAGGCCCACAGCTTATTTGTAATACTGCTCATGTTATATATCGTCTTTCTTGTCTTTGTCCAGAAAGTTTTTTTCTACAGTGGCCAAATTAAAAGGCGCATGAGAGATTGTTTAGTTGAGCACTAATATGCAACCAGAGTAAAAAACCGGGGCTACCCAATGCAGAGTCCTGCACCTGTCTGCACCTGCGCAGTACAGCAGCACATCCGCCCTTTAACTCGTGATTATATCAAAGTTAAATCCTCACCCGCCCAGACTCGTTAACATTCCATCTGTGCCTATGATAAATTACCACTCGGCAACTTAACTTTTTTCTTGTTTGTCAGGCTCATGCTCCTCAAACCATGAATGCCGGGGAAAATTGCCACATATAAGTGACGTAGGCTTTAGTTGAAATATTGTAGCCCCCTGCAGACGACTGAACGCAATTACTACAATTTGTACATGCACTCTAATACAATGTTTCCCAAACTTTTTTTTTTTTTTTCTGGGGAGCCATATTTTAAAAGTCACAAACCTTCAATAGACATTTTTCATAAATCACAAAATAAAGGTGGATTTGACCATTACCAGTGTTGGGAAGGTTACTTTTTAAATGTATTCCCCTACAGATTACATATTACATACCTCAAAATGTAGTTTGTAACATAATCCATTAAATTACTTAAAGTGAGTAATGTAATCTGAATACTTTGGATTACTTGATTTGCTGTCGAGAAGCAAAGACGAGGAAATCTTCACATAAGATGTTTTGTTTGCTAAAAGAAAATAAAAAGCCCAGACTTTACTCAACCAAATTAAAAAATATTACTGGTTTTAGACCTGGTTTTAGACCTGGTTTTAGTCCTGGTTTTAGACCTGGTTTAGTCCTGGTTTAGACCTGGATTTGATCTAGTTTAGACCTGGTTTTAGTCCCGGAGTAGTCCTGGTTTATTTCAACAAAGTAATCCAATTACCTCTCTTTGAAACAGTAACTGTAACTGAATACAGTTACTCATAATTTGTACTCTGATTACGTAACTCCGGTACATGTAATCTGTTACTCCCCAACACTGAGCATTACTGAACATTCATGAGGATACTTTCTTGTGGATTGAGTGTCTCTGAACAATTAGTATCACTCAAGTTATAAACTATGAAAAACAGTCACTGAAGCAGCAATAAAAGGTCACAGAAGTCATGTATTTGGACTTTAAATGCAGAACATTTCATTTTCTTTTCAACATTCAATTGAACCAGCAATATTGGAACAAAATAGTCACTCACTCTCTCATGTGTCAGAACTGTATATTACAGACTTGCATACAGATAGAGACAAGGCGACCCCCAAAAAAATCTCTTGCGACCCACCTGATCGTTGCAACCCAGTCTTTGGGAAACAGTGGTCTATATATTTGTATAATATATATTTGATTCACTTGACCTGCCCATGTGTAATCACTACCCGCCCATAAAATTCCAGAATGTTAAAACCCGCCCGTTTAATTAAGCAACTATGGTGCAGGACTCTGACCCAGTGGCTCGACATTTTTGTGAAAATCATAATAGCACTGACCCTCTGCTTCACATATTGAACACGTGAAAGCACTGGTAAGAGGTGGAGAGGCTTCAAAAACTGAATCAAAGAGAAGCTGGATTCATAAATTAAGAGTATGTGAACCCTGGTCTGAATGAGTACTGTGATTTGTTTGATTTGTTGCATGTCTTGTACCTGCCTTCTTTACCTCTACTTATCATCTGTCCTGACCATTGGCTGGTGTGTATTTAAAGGCCACACCCATGCTTCAGATTTTGACCTAAGCCCTCATGAAGACCAATCATGGTTGGTTTAAATAAAGGCTTTTCAACTGCACTTTTCCTCGTGTGACGTTTACTTTTTTGAGTGCCTGGATTTCGTTGAGTCTAAAGTTTTGATCCTTCTTCCAAGATCGAGAAGCAGGAAACAGCCACTTTTTTCTTCAAGGTCCACAACCTATTTGTCTCCACGGAGATTCTGTGTGGAGTTTACATGTTCTCCGTGTGTTCTTTGGGTTCCCGCGCTAATAAAAGCATGAATGTATTGTGTTCATAAATTGTGTAGTGGTTGATACCAGCGCAGCACTGTGGGTTCGCTTCCCTCAAGAATTTAAGTGGGGCTTTCCTGTTGACAAAATGAGAGTTTAAAAAGTTGATTGAGTGGTTAATAAACATGTCTTTTTATCTCCGTTCCAGGTGGTTTTCGAGGCTGAGAGAGGCTTTAGTGATTCCTGCGACTCTGCATTAGACAACATCGTGATCTCAGAGGGAGCGTGTCCTTGTGAGTCAGCGTTCTATAGCTGGATTATTGTACACAGATAACATGAGATAAGATAATCCCCCCTTATTGCCCCAGCGCTCTGTTCTAACATGTGTTTTTCTCTGCAGCGTGCCTGGCCGGTTGTGATTTTGACATTTTTGATAATCTTTGTGGATGGCACGTAACATCACATGTCGACATATTTGGATTTGAACAATGGACTGGGCCAACTGAAACTCCAGACACTGGACCTGAGGATGACTACTCTAAACCTGGGTGTAAGATTTTAGATCAGGGGTGTCAAACATACCGCCCGGGGGCCGGATCCAGCCCGCCAAGACTGTCTTCTGGCCCTCGGCTGATTTTCTACTAAAATATTTTAATTATATTTTCTATAAAAATATTGGTAATTTTCTGTGCCACTTAGCATAGCAGCGTCTCCAGTGGCCCCTCCCACCAAAAATAACAAAAGTGGACGCTGGGTGCAGGATTTTCCAAGAAAAATTTACTTCCTATTTGCATACTTACAATTGCATTTTTATTAAGTTTCAGGTTGTTCATAATATTATAATATTTTGTGAAAGAAAGAGTTCATCAATTAAAAAGTATTTCTGTAATAGATTTGTGTTTCTCTGCACAGATATTTGAACTCATTGTTATTTTTGGGGTTTATATGCCATGAGTTTTCTGATCCGCCCCCTTTGGGATACGGCCCCTGGACCAAAATGTGTTTGACACCCCTGATTTAGATACTTCCTGTACTTTTAAGGCAAGACATTTCAGGTGACTGGTAAAAAAAATATAAGGGACAACTTAAATGTAAGTATCATATTTTGCAGAACTGAAATATGAAGAGCCAGGTAAAAATCTTTTGGCAATTTTTATGCAATGTCAGGTTCTAGGGTTATAATGATGTTTTGGATACCATATTTAGTCTTTGATTAAATTGAAATGGTCATTAGATGGGTTAAGTCTCAGAGTGTAAGAAACAATAGTTACAATTGGCTTCGCAGGGAATCAGTCAGTGCTTTCTACACCGCCCTTTGGCAGTCATGTGGGAATAGAACATGTTTCTGCATTTTGACAAACTTTAAAATGACACATGAATGTAAAAAGAGAAAACTGGCAAACCAAAATTTAAAAAAAAGAAAATGTTGCCTGTAGTATCTTGCCTTTTTATGTATATTTTATTTGTAGAAAACATTCACATGGTAGGTTGACATCTGACCTTTCCTATCTCCAGTTGGCCACTATATGCTGATGGATTCTGGCGATGACCATACCTGGAGCTCAATCCCAGTTACAAAGCCCAGTCCTGACCCCCACCACTGGGTGCCTGGAGCTCTCCTTCTTCTACTATCTGTACGGCACCAGCACCCAAATGCAGATTAGTGTCCACGCCATGTCCACAGGTAGAAGACTAGCCCAACTATGACTATATAATGTATGGTATAACTTTATAATGAATGGTACTGGACATTTCAGCTGGAGTTCTTGGGCCTGCTCTCTTCACTTTGAGAGGAAACCGGGGTCAGGGGTGGAAACCAGCAGAAGTCCAGTATGTAGGTTCTGCACCTATAAAGGTAAAAACAAACAAAACAAAACAAAAAAAATCAGATAATGTGTCTCCGTGGTTACCTGCTTCTTCATACTCCTAATCATGTTTCAGTTTGTGATCGTGGGCACATATGGAGAAACTCCTGAGACCGATATTGCCATTGATGCCGTATGTGTCTTGAGCTGCCAACGTAAGAAATAGTCCAAAATTTTACTTAGTTAATAATACTCTGTATGATGGAAACTGTCTGACGCAAATTATCATTTTTACTTTTTTTTTTTTACTTCACAGCACCTTCTCCAACACCCAGCACGCCAAAACCACCTACACCAGGACCTTCTACACCAAAACCACCTACACCAGGACCTTCTACACCAAAACCACCTACTCCTGGACCTTCTACACCAAAACCACCTACTCCTGGACCTTCTACACCAAAACCACCTACACCAGGACCTTCTACACCAAAACCACCTACACCAGGACCTTCTACACCAAAAACCACCTACTCCAGGACCTTCTACACCAAAACCACCTACACCAGGACCTTCTACACCAAAACACCTACACCCAGGACCTTCTACACCAAAACCACCTACTCCTGGACCTTCTACACAAAACCACCTACCCAGGACCTTCTACACCAAAACCACCTACGCCAGGACCTTCTACACCAAAACCACCTACGCCAGGACCTTCTACACCAAAACCACCTACGCCAGGACCTTCTACACCAAAACCACCTACGCCAGGACCTTCTACACAAAACCACCTACCCACCTTCTACACCAAAACCACCTACGCCAGGACCTTCTACACCAAAACCACCTACGCCAGGACCTTCTACACCAAAACCACCTACGCCAGGACCTTCTACACCAAAACCACCTACGCCAGGACCTTCTACACCAAAACCACCTACGCCAGGACCTTCTACACCAAAACCACCTACGCCAGGACCTTCTACACCAAAACCACCTACGCCAGGACCTTCTACACCAAAACCACCTACACCAGGACCTTCTACACCAAAACCACCTACACCAGGACCTTCTACACCAAAACCACCTACACCAGGACCTTCTACACCAAAACCACCTACACCAAATCCTACTCCTGGACCTTCTACACCAAAACCACCTACACCAAAACCTACTCCTGGACCTTCTACACCTAAACCACCTACTCCTGGACCTTCTACACCAAAACCACCTACTCCTGGACCTTCTACACCAAAACCACCTACACAGGACCTTCTACACCAAAACCACCTACACCAGGACCTTCTACACCAAAACCACCTACACCAAAACCTACTCCTGGGCCTTCTACACCAAAACCACCTACACCAAAACCAACCACACCAAAACCAACCACACCTAAACCAACCACACCCAAACCCCCAAGTGAGTACCCCTATCAACCACACTGGTCAGCATTGTTAGAAATTAAAATGACGTTTTATTTCGATTCTTCTTCTGGCCCACAGTCACTTGCCCACCTAATGCTGAGTACATCGAGTGTGGTCCAGCTTGTATCCCCACCTGTCAGGATCCCTCCACAAACTGCACGGGCTCCTGCATCACTGGCTGCTTCTGTAAACCTGGATACGTGTTTAAGGGACGTCGGTGCGTGCTTCTGGAACAATGTGGATGCCTGGACGATAAGAACAACTACTATGAGGTAGTGGTTACTCTATGTTGTCATCTAGACATTCTAAATTTTAAGTTAAGTTTAAGTTTTGCTTCTTAATTCTAACAAGCTTCTAAGTGTACAAAAAAATCCTCTTTATATTTGCATACACACAATAGGCTACGGCAAGTGCACTCATGATTCAATTATCTACGGAACTACAACATGTTCAGGGACGTCTAGTAATTTAGCACTAGCGGTAAAGCTTTGTAACATACCCCTAGCACAACTTAACACATCACAACATTGGCAATATTTATCTATTTCTACAGAGAGAAGCAGTAAAAGCAGCAAAGTTGGTAACAATGCATTGCACTTCCCAAATAAAATCACCTGTTCTTGAATACATGCAAGATGAAAAAGTTTAATGTCATACTATGGAACATTCCAGGCAAAACAATAACTCCACCAGAGAGGTTACGGTTCCATGCTGCTATTTCGACATGCCACTATTTAGATATTGACGTGTAATTGTCAGAGTAGCGGCATGAACATTATTTTTCAAATGTCACACCATTTCAACGTTTTTTTGCATTGTCGGAGTAGCAGTGCTTTACTATTTTTCAAACATTCTGCTTTTCCGACATGAATAATGTGATAGTCTATTATACTTGGCGCAATCAAAAAGCATTTGATCAGAGGATACTTCAGGCACATAAGATATCAGACAATGGAAAGATGTCCTAACTGATAGTCGTAGGAAACAGTCATGCATAATAAAAAGGGGCATAGGCCAGCCTTCAGGAAACTATCTTATCTAAAACAGAGGCTGCATGGGCCCTTCGTGCTTCATTCATTTCGTCATGTAGGCGGCCTGCGAAGAACATGACGTGTTGGAATAGTGATACTAAAAAGTGTTGGGAAACTGGCACATCTAAATAGAGTCATGTCATCATACCGTCATGTATAAATAGAAACATGACATAATGAAGGGATGTCGGGATAGGCGGCAGACCCCAGGGGTTTACCTTGCACCTTTAAAATTTGTGTTTTGTGGCCTTAATTAGCAATTGTACTGCAGACTGTGAACCACTGCTGTTACATCCGCTTTTGAGGTTTTGAGGCTAGTCCAACATGACACATTTTTCATCAAATAGTTATGTTAAATCATATAATTATGTTAAGTATTTCTTTGTGGTGTCCATTTCAACCGTAGCCCGGTGAAATTGTGTTTGGCGATGGCTGCTCTAAGCTCTGCCGCTGTGCTGGGAACTACACACTGACATGTGTGGACAACTCCTGTGACCCAACAGAAGAGTGTCGGGAGGTCAACGGTGTGGCAGGATGCTATCCTAAAGGTACATTAAAGGACACATGCCAATTTTACAGTGGCGTGAGGGGGGAGGAGGGACGGGGTCTTATAAAGAACAGTCACAGACACTTCAAACTCCGCCTCTGCAGCCAGGAATTTGTAATCTGAAACACTTGGCTGTTATCAGGACAGTCCTGAGTGATGTCACATAGTACTTTAAATTGCAGTGACCCTTGGAGGAAGCACATTGTGAGTAGTTTGATTTAGTGTTTAGTCTCACTTTAAGGTTTCGCTTTTACAATGATAAGCTTAGTTTCATTTCGATTTTTTTTTTTTTTAAAAAGGGATTTTATTTTATGTTTTCAAATGGTTATACAGAATGAAATGCTGAATGAAAAGACTTTTTTTTTTTTTTAATTTATTCACACTTTTGCTATAATAGTCCTATCAACCTCCATTGGCCCTATGGTTCTCCCACAGTGACTTCAAATTTGTCTTGACGCTTTAATGTAAATGTAAATTATACTACGTAGCCTAGGACGTCACATTAGCTTAACTGTAATATGTGCAACATTTGTCATTTTCCTAGATACTTCCACCTGCATTGCTTCCGGAGACCCCCACTACACCACGTTCGACAAACTCAAGTACAACTTCATGGGTAACTGCAGTTATCTGATGTCTGCTCCCTGCAATTCAACTGGTCCATACTATGAGGTCCACACTGACAACGAAAAGCGCTGGAACAATCCCTCCATCTCCTACGTCAAAGCTGTCCACACTCATGTATACGGGATGAAGATCTCGATCCTAAAAGGAGGCACTGTACAGGTAAAAGAGCCTGTTAACATGCATCAGTAAAGTCTATAACCGTGTTTCAGCTGGTTTCATCTGGAAAGTAAATTGTACCCGCCCATTTGAGGATTCCAAAGTCAATGGCCATGGGGGGTACTAGCCTCCAAAAAGATCTGGCTCTAACTTAAAGAGTAGCTGTTTTTTTTTTTAAGGTTCTCCAGATGCATTTGGTTCAAGACACATGAAAATTTCCACCCAATAGGGTCTATACTATAACATAGTGAACCAAATAAATAAGGCGTATTCAAGTAATTTGTCATTTTATACTGCAAACACAAACTCAAACTTGCATAAAAATGACTTAGAAAGTCCATAAAAAGTGACTTAGAAAGTCCATCTCCACTGTGTGTTTGTTGGCATCACTAAAGATGTGCCTGTGTCTTTGACACCTGCAGTAGATCCTGTTTCTGATCTTCATTCTTTTTTTGCGAAGGCAACTTCTATGTTGGCTACCACTCGTCTTAAGCTTCATTGCTCTTCCATTTCTGTGTTCCTGTTTTGTGATTAATAAAACATGTTTCATAATGCAGTGTAGATTTTTAAATTTTTTCTACAACAAATTACTGCTTTTACAATATACTATTTTCCACTATTGGTTTACTAAAAGTTCAGATATTGTTGGGTAAAAGTTGATTATATGTGTGCTTGCTCACCAGATCAACGGGACCAATGTGAATGTGCCTGTGAACCCTGCGCCTGGTGTGTCCGTGTTTAAATCGGGGAAGTACTACACCGTGACGCTGGACTTCGGTGTCACTGTGAGATATGATGGCAACCACTACATGGACATCAAGGTCACCAAAGAGTAAGACCACACTGCACGATGCCAGTCCAAGTAGCCTCTCTTGAAGTCCTCAGAGTCATTGTTTTATATGAAGAAGCACAACCAGTGACCTTGTCCTCTTGTGCAGGTTTGATTGGTTGGTACTAAAAGGGAATGGTTAGTCATTCATAAAGGTAAAGAGATTAAATTGTCTGGCACAGCATTTAAACCAAGGATTGTTACTGGTAAATCCAGCTGAAGTACAAAAGTAGAGCTCTAAGATCATCAGGAAAGTGTGAATAACCAACATGGAAAAGAACTTTTGCATGTTCTAAAGAATTATGATTTTGAAGTGTTTTCAATATTATCAATGTATTTGGAACGCATTACTAGGAAAATTGTGAATCAAGATGAAAGAAATTGCTGATAGCCTGCCAAATGTCATTACAAAAAAATGGTGAAAAACTTGAACTTTGTACAATCTGACGAAGAGAAGTTTTGGACGGTGGTCTGGATTGTGGTCTGAATGGTGGTTTCGTTCTGGGTGGGAAGTGAAATGCCTTGATCGGGGAAAAACAGTGTTCAGATGACTACCGTTGAAACCTTCTCTACATCACATTGTAGAAAGTTCAAGTTTGCACCATTTTTTTGTAATGGCATTTGGCAGGCTCTCAGCAATATTGGTCATCTTGAGTCACAACTTCCCCAATGATGCGTTCCAAATACATTGATAATACTGAAAACATGTTGCTCCAAAACCATAATTCTTAGAACAATGCTGTAATTCTTTTCTATGTTGGTTATTCATGCATTTGTGATGATCCTAGAGCTCTATGTTTTGTCCTTCAGCTGGACTTGTCAGTAACAATCCTTAGTTTAAATGCTGTGCGACGCAATTTCATCTTTTTACCTTTAGGACTGACTAACCACCCTCTTTTAGTACCAACCAATCAAATCTGCACATGAGGACAAGATCATTGGTTGACTCATCACATTGTATCATTGCCATTTCTACAATATGATCAATGTTGATATAATGATGAACAGTCCTTGTGAATCCGAACAAGGACACAATTACTATTATTAATTTGATTTTAAGCAAAAACAGTTGAAATTCTCCCCGTCATGTGCAGCTTCAAGAGCAAACTGTGTGGCCTGTGTGCGGACTACGATGGAGACGCTTCTGACGACTTCAGGAAACCGGACGGCTCTCTGACCAAAGACCCCAACGAGTTTGGGGACAGTTGGAACACCGACCCACTGTGAGTCCAATAAACTTTTGAAAATATTTTCTTGGAGCCAAATAACCATTCAGAGTTGATCACAATTTGTGTTCATTGTATTTTTCTTTTGTTTGGCATCTGTAATAGCTTCTTCTGAAAGTTCACACTTACCTGCATTGATGGGAAGAATACTTTGATAATGTATTTAGTTACAGAATACTTAATACCTGCTTTAAAGAAGGTATTTTATATTTTGTATTTTTGTAACATATTTTGATATATGGTCCAATCAGAGTACTGTATTCTGAATACTTGGAATACTTTCACGTAGAGTTGCATTTAAATTATCGTGTAAAAAACACAACATAGTATTATTTTTTTTTTAAACTTTATATTTGGTTTTCCATTTGTTGTGCATTTTATATCACTAACTGGAGAAGGAAACTACATGCACACGCTATAAGAGTATTGTTTTCTATTTTTTTCTCCCTAATTCTGTGCAGTTTAAAGCCTAAATTATGATATAAGTACAGGCAAACATTTCTTAGATTGATTGCTGGATGTATTCTAAATACCACCAAATGAAAAAGTAACTGTACCAGTGATTCAGAATTAGTATTCTGAATATGTATTCTAGGTACATGTATTCAGTTACTTCAGTTACTACAGTACTGAATCACAATCTGACCAAAACAGTAGCCCAGTCTGAATGCAATCTAAATTTATGACCTTTAGTTTTAGTTTAGTTTATTGTACTCATTTAGTGTCATACACCATTTAGTTGGTGCTCGCTTGGGCTTATAAGACACATAAAACAATAAGCAGACAGATCACACATTAAACATAAAGTGTCCTTTTATGGAGGTCCCAGGCTTTCAACACAAACTGAGCCAACTTGAAAACATTACATTTAAACAGATACTTCAGTCTCTCCTCATCAGACATAGCAAACCAACAGTAAGACACGTTATGACCAGTTTTCAATGTTTTCATGTTTTGTTCACAGCTGTAATCTCAAACCGAACGTCACCGAAGAATGTACCGATGACGAGAAGGATTTGTACGAGTCTTCTGGATTCTGTGGAATTCTGCTCGACAAAGACGGTCCTTTCGCTAAATGCCATGGCAAAGTCAATCCTAATGTAAGATTTCACACGCAAGCATCTACAATTAGAAGAAACCTCAACAAACAGTACATCATACCCTTTAATGCGTTTTCTATGGAGGAATTGGCATGCACAAACCAACAGAGAAATATGGCTTTAAAGGTTGTATAGAGGATGTTTTTGTTTTTGTTTCAATGAAAGTTCCAAATAGCATTATAGAGTTGCAGTAATTACTGTACTGCAACTGTAATTATGATGACCAAAAAAAAAGAATGAAAATCCATGAACCGTGGACGTGGTGGGGCCAGATAAACTTCAGTCAATAGATAACAATTCTACCTCATTATCTATTGGCTGTTGGGTTGTCAGTCAGACTCCCTATGTTTCTAGTGTAATTGACTCGGGGTCTAAAGACTGACATGTTGGCCGTTGAATGATTTCTGGCCTGGAAACTTCAACAGCAATTCGTTCTGAACTCGCACCGGCTGTAAACAAATATGATTTCTAGTGTAAGGAGGAGGTGGGAGGAGGCGTTTCTACATAGAAAGCTGTGAAGGAGGGGAAAAGGACAGTCCCTGTATCTCACTTTCCTTTGAAAATCCTCTAAACAACCTTTAATAGTTAACTTGAGCAAGGTTTGATTCATTACTTTAGACTGTACTTAATTGTGCAGTAGCTTTAATTATTAGCCAACTAATCATAAACATTACAACTAGAAGTCTATTAATTAGTGATGGGCGAATGGAGCCTCGTGAAGCATTGACACCTCAGTCGCAATATTGTCTCAAATGGTTGGACATGTCTGAGGCCTCAGAGAAACACTGACCTCTAGTGGACAAATTTAACCATTGGCACACAGGTGTCTCAGCATCGATGAAGTATTGTTAGTGTAAGACAATACTTGTGTGCAGAGCGACACCGTACCTAACAACAACAATAATAATGACGATTTCAAATAATATGTAAAGAGCAACATAAATAACATGCTGTAAATAAGAAAATAGGTGTTACCTTGTTAGGTGGAATTAGATCAAAGTGATCCCAAACCATGGATCGCTTTTTTCCGCTTGTAGATGCCATCGAAAATGAAACCAATGCCAAAAGTCGCCAAAAGTCACCAAAATCACCACTAACGTCACACAATACTCCTCACTACCCAACATGTTTAAGAAATATTGGTGCATCTTTTATACTGTAGCAGTTTAGCGCTTGTCAAACCACAGAAGTGCACTGAACACTCTGAAGTAGTGATGTGACGTTCCGTATCAAGGCTTCGAAGCATGTGTCGAGTAGGGGGGCGTTTCCGCGATGCGCGTATTGAGGCTCGCTTCATGTAGGGGAGGGGCTGAAAATGATGACGTCCGAAGCCTCGCTGCCCGGCTGTACCATGTGACTGATTCAGGAAGTGGTTCGGATTTTGCTGCGATTTCCATTTTTATCATTTTCAAATAATAATTTTCCATACTGCCAGTATATAGATACACACTACACTGCCATCACTACAATATGCATGTTTTGCATACTTCTTTATTTTGCTGACAGTTTTATTCACAGGTTTTCTTCCAAAATGTCACACAATTCAAATCCATGTCAACTGATATTTTTGTGTCCAGTAGATGTCCTGTTAGAGCAAATGAAGCTTCAAGAAGCTTTGTGCTAGAGCAGGGTTGTCCAAACTTTTTTCATCAAGGGCCACATAGCTAAACACAGACGAAGCAGAGGGCCAATTGTAGGGCTCAGTACAAGGAATAATTGAAATGTGTGCATGTTTAATACATTAGAATGAGCCATCAGTCTTTATTCATGCTAAAATCCTTAAAACCACACACTAAATATTAAATATTAGCTTTATCAAGGTAGATTTTCAAAAAACTTGCAGTAAAAATAATTTTTCAATTGATGCAAGGTAATTTGGGCCAATTCACCTGGAAGTCTGAGGGCCAAGAAAAACTTGTCTGAGGGCCACATTTGGCCCCCAGGCCATAGTTTGGACATGTCTGTGCTAGAGTGAACCAATTTAATGAAAGGCTTCAATGCGTCACGAAGCTTCATTTGCCCATCACTACTCTGAAGCACTCTGAACCAATCGCAGAGCGGAACATTCGCTGAGCCAATGAAACGCTTCGATACACTGAAGAGATTGACACGCAGAGCGAAGCAGTAGGGGGAGGGACCCACACTTCCACACTTTGGTCACGTGAGCGGCTGCTGCGAGACGAGCTCAGAGGCAGTGCTTCAGAGCAATTTGTTTCAGAAAGAACGAGACGTGCTCCAGAGCTCCGACTCATTTGCCCGTCACTACTATTAATCCTCATCCTCCCTATCTGCTTTAACTTGGTTTGGTCTCCGTGAAGGTCAAAATTGAATAGCAAACTGTAATAACATCTCCATGAAGAAAAAGGTTTGACAGGCCCTCCACCGGAAAAGTGACACAACGCAGCTGTAATTCTCCATAAAGTATTAAGTAAAAGTAAAGTGTGCCTTAACCTTACCCATTCTCTTTCTCCAGAACTACTTTAAGGACTGTGTGTTCGACTTGTGTGAGCTGGACGGAGCCAAGCCTGTGCTGTGTGAGGCTATCGAGGCCTATGCCAACGAGTGCCAGGACCGCGGCGTGGAGATCGGAACCTGGAGGAACGAAACCTTCTGCCGTGAGAAGCATTTTTATCATCAACAAAACTCTCCAAATGTTTGTCGGGTGGTTTACTGAGGGTTGGTTAGGTTTGTTTGTGAGTTAACTTGTTTGTGTATGTATTAGTTGTAGTTGGTCAGTCGTTTGGTTAGTTACAAAGTTCAAGTTGGTTGTTGATTATTTGATTATTTGTATTGGAGTTACCGGTGGTCTTAAAAAAAAAAAAAAAAAAAAAAAAGCTATAGCCTTTATATTGTACCTTTTGTCAAAAAAGCAGCAAATAATTTACAAATAAAAGAAAACAATCTTAAATGAATTAGTTAGAGTTAGACTAGTTGGGTAGTTTGTTGGTTAGCTGGTTGGTTAGTATGTTGGTTAGTTACTTGGGTAGTTTGCTGTGTGGATGTTTGGTTCATGGCTAGTTTTGTGAGTTGCATTTGCTGAATAAAGAGTTAGTTGGCAATACTGACAAAAATGAATATACAGGGTGCTCCAAAAAAATTTACATAATTTCGCAGGTCAATTATTTTAGCAATTCTTGTTGAAATAACCTCAAATTTTCACAGAATGTACAGACACAGATCAAGATTTTATATTTAATGTTTTATTTTTGTTTGCTCACACACACTCACCCAAGATTGTGCAGCCTTTGGACAAACTTCACCAACCAGCAAACAAATTTGGACTTGGACTTTGGACCAAAAATGTAAAGAGTTGGTAGACCAACATCAAAAGAGAATGTCGAGCAAGTTTGTGAAACCCAGATTCCTCGAGGGACGGTTTGGCGTACCAGATCCTTTGGCCCGACATAAACAGCCTTTCTCTTTACCTTTTTGGTAACAAGTCCAAATTTGCTTGCCAGTTAGTGAAGTTTTTCTAAATGTTTCATTGAAAGCTGCACAGTCTTAGGTCAGTGTGTGCAGCAGATTCCAAAACACAAAATGACTTCTCTTTGGGACTGAATGGCTCAACCTGAAAACAGAACAAAAAGAAAACATTAAATATAAAATCTTGATCTGTTTCTGTATATTTTGTGAAAATATAAGATTATTTGAACAAGAACTGACAAAATTATTGCCCTGCAAAATTATGTCAAATTTTTTGGGACACACTTTATATTTAACAGTGTTCCAAGAATGGGCAAAAATGTACTTAATATTCTAACTTAGTATACCTTCACAACAATTGCAATTCATCCATTTCTAAATATATCTTTCACCTCTATAAGATTGTAAGTGTGTCTTCTGTTAGCTCTGTGAGTTAGTTTAATAACTTATTTCTTTTTCTGTCCCCTCAGCCTTGAAGTGCCCACCGAACAGCCACTACGTCCCGTGCGCCAACCCCTGTCAGGAGACGTGCTCAGGCACCCCCACAGGCTGCAGCGGCCCGTGCACCGAGGGCTGCGTGTGTGACCCCGGGTACGTCCTCAGCGCCGGCAAGTGCGTGAAGAAGAGCTCCTGCGGCTGCCAGCACAACGGCCAGTACTACGAGGTGAGGAACGGCCTTACACCGCCCCCTACTGACCACATCGCTCTGTGCAGGAGTAGGCAGGCTGTGTCTCTATGGTGGAATGTTCAGCAGTTACTATGGTGACACAATACAAACAGTACCAAAAAAACTAAAGAAAAAGTGTTCACGCTGCAGGTGGGGTGTGATACTGAGGAGAGTCAGTAAGGTGTTTGTAACCAGAAATTCCTGGCTATAATCAGGGCAGTCCTGTGTGATGTCATGTAGTACTTGAAATTGCAGTGGCCAGATCTTTCACACTTAATTATGAATTTTCTCTGCTCTAAAAATGCAAGCTAAAGGTCCTATATTATGCAAAACTGACTTGTAAGCATTAAAGCATGTCAGAATGTTGTGAGTAATCCTTTTATTATTAGTCTGCCTACATTTCCAAAGCTCAAAATGCTCTCTTCCACCTTGTGATGTCACGAAGAGGTAGTTTGGTAGGTTTTAAGTTAACCTCTACCTTTTATCTTTAGTTCAGTAGAGAATGGCAATTCTAGATCTGAAATTATTAGAGGTGGGACTTGATATAAAAAAAGCAACATTTATTTTATGTGAAGTAATTTTAGTGGATGACTTTAAATAATCCACACAGACACTTTTAAACTCGAGCGCTTTTAATGTCTGTAAAAATGGAAAAAGCAAATTGCATTTCATGTCAAAATAGTAGACAAAGGTAAAGTCCATGTTCAAAGCTGAAGAGACTAAACTTAAAGTCCCATTTTTCTTTAAGTTGTTTTCTTCTGAGCGTAGTGTACATCTTGCAAACTCTTTTCGCCTTTGTCAATACTTCCATCGGGTCGGTTTTTTTAACAGATTTACCGATACACTTACCGTCCAGCAAACCTAGAGCTTTTTCATGCTCCATTGTTGTAGTCAGAACTGTGTGCGTAATTGCTTAATCATAATTAACGTGTTAATATCTCATGTCTACAAATTATCTGAATGATTCTATTGAAGGTGTTTGGAGTTTGAAATCATAGTGGAGCACTTTCTGTGGGTGGAACAGTTTTGAGTTTGAGAGAAAAACCTAGAAGAACTTAAATGTGCAGGGTTTGTGTGTTAAACATGTGTAAATAAAACAAAATACAACTCCAGGTCTGTTTGTGACGAGGAAACAACATTAGAACATTGATCAGAAAATTGCATCATATGTAAACAATCGTAGTAATTGTTGCGTCTTGGAATAACTCTGTGATGTGTTGCAGCCTGGAGACGAGTTCTATGTGGAGAACTGTGAGCTCAAGTGCACATGCAACCCTCCGTTTGTCTCCTGTAAAGCCACTGAATGTCCACCCGCTACAGAGTGCAAAGTACAAGAGGGAGACCTGGGCTGCTACCCCACCGGTCAGTTTACACCAAATATACCAAATATTACACTAAATATCACATCTGACATGTTTTTAACCCTCATACGCTCATAGTACATTTTTGTACATCACAACTTTTCTTTTCTGCATAACTTTGGCTATATTACACCAAACAACACCAAAATTGGCCAGTTTATATATTTTGTGATGTATTTTTAATTTCTGTGTGTGTTTTTTTTTTTTTTCCCAAGATCACATTAATTAATTATTATTAATTATTAATTAACCCTCTCAGGCTCAAATTCAATTTTAGTAAAAGGAAAAAATCTGATATTTGGGAAAATGATCATATAGGGTAGTAATATACAATCCTGACTTTTTTTTTGAGAGACCTTCACATCCAGTGTGTTCTGGGATGTTGCAGATTTGCAACATTGGTCTGGTGTGGTAAATTAACACTGAAGACTGAAAATGATATGAACACTAACTTTATTTGTAAACCACTTTTCATAACAATGAAAACATAAAGCAGAGTGTAACAGCTTTACAGTGGCAGAACAACATCACTTTTTCGTGTGGTTCTCCAAGAAACAATTTTTATCCTTTGTAAACAACAAAAGTACTTTGCACTTCTGGCAGGTCGTTTGTGTGTAGTCATTCTTGCACAGTCTGCATCATCCATGTTTATCAGCATGGATGGGAAAAAAGGCTCCTGAGTAAAAAAAGCTCATAAAATATGGATTTGGAGTAAGTAGGTAACTGGCATTCAGCTGTTGCAAATCTTCAACGCCTGCCTGGAGAGGGTTAACAGTCTATAATCAAAATATTTAGACGCATTTTTGTCCCATTTACTTTTTTTTACTGGCATAACTTACTTACTTACTTTTTTATTTATTTATTTTTTTTATTATTATTATTATTTTTTTTTTACTGTCTTTTTGATATTGATATTGATATTGATATTTATATAATGTGATTTTTTAAATATTTTTTCTTTTTACTGTGTATCTTCCATTGCAAGGTCATATCAAAAGAAAGACATTTGTACATATGAGTCCACACTGAAGGCCTGTTACGTAGATATTTGAGGTTAAAACGATCTGGGTGTGTTCTAGAGGAGCCCCAGAGTGCACTGAGTGTGTTTGTTTGAGACTGTGTGTGAGTTTGTGCGTGCCTGTGCGTGTGTATTATTTATTATTTCATATGTATGATTAGGACAGAAGTAAATGAAAACACTGATATAAAAAAAATTGACAAAAATCTGTATTGTGTAAAAATATTGTGATATTACTTTCCTGTGTATATTTTTGTCATGAATTACCACAGGTGTGATTATTTAAAGGGGTGGACGAGGGTTTAATCGATACATTTGAAGATGTAACATTATTGGAAACACTGTGATATCAAAACGTTCACAATATTACAAAGCTGGAGGCGTAGTTTGGAGATGGTGATAAATACTGGAGAGCATTGACATTTTTAGGTCTTATACATTTATATCTACTCAAGAAAACCATCTGTTGTTGCTTTGTTTGTTTTAAAGTCCGCCAGAAATGCCCCAGAAAAGTATGTGGTCTAAAAGTTAGTCCAGTGAGGTTCATTTGGTCTTCTGATAATTATAAACAGATTCTTTAATAAAAAGGCTTAAAAGTGATTCTCAAGTTGTTAACAGTAGGTATCGTTACATCTGTTATAGTGTGCCGCATCAGTAGGAGCATAGTGCCGTTTAGTGGACAAATGTGTGTACTACATCTTTTTCAGTGATCATCTAAACACAAACAGGTGGGCAGTTCAAATACCACTCAAACAAATATACTGTCAGTGAAGTGTCTGTGGGCAAGACACTTTACCCACCATTATCCACCATGACAGGGAGTCATTACACACGTCCTCCATGTTTTTAATACCGTAATAGTAATGTACTATGAGATTAGAATATTCCTAAACATTTGTTCAGTAAAATATTGGTCACATTTCTGTTCCCCACTGTCCTGTAGGCTCTGAGGACTGCATCATCTCCGGAGACCCTCATTACAACACATTTGATAAGAAGTTCTTCAGCTTCATGGGCACGTGCACGTACACTCTGGCCCGCACCTGCAAGAACGACACTGGTAAGAGGGACTGTTTTCTCTCTATGTCAGAAATGTGGGAGTGAGAGCATCTTGTTTTGCCCTTCTCCCATATTTAACTATTTTGACGCATTAAGTCAAAAATGTGTGAAGAATCCCTCAGTCGTCCAGGTAGAATCCATGGTGAGGAGAAAATTCAGTTTGTCAACTGGACAAAAGTTAGTTGGTTGAAGATGTTTCGCAGTTCATCCAAGCTGCTTCTTCAGTTCTGGTCAGACGCTGGTGGACACTTCCTTATATCTGCAGGGAGGAGCTAACTACACTGAATGTATATTATTTTTAAAAGTTTAACTCATTCATTCCATACCTGATGACATAAACAGTATGTGAGTGCATGATGGGACATGTCCAGACATATTCTTGGACTCTTGGGCCACACAGCTCTTTGGTTGACTCTGACCGGCCCATTTAAGTTCATTTGGAATTACAAAATAAACATATTTTATAATTTGACCTCATGCATGGACTAAAGCTGCATTGCTTTTATTTTAGAGGTGTTTTTTTTTTTTTTTTTTTTTAATTACACTTTTTGTTCGGCAGCCTCACTTTTTCATTGTTTAGTCATAACATAAATTCTCCCCAGTCTGACCAGCTTGTCAAAACAATCATATTTACTGCTTTTTTTTTTGTTTTTGTTTTTTTCTAATAAAGAAATACAGTTAATAGTATGCAGAACTGAGTTAAGCATTTTGGCCTCCACAATATGTTCTGTTTCTCATGTGGTTCCATGGAAAAAAATAATTACCCACCCCTGGTTTATGGTCTGGTTTGGGTTTGAAAAGTGGAACTTGGACCTATATCCCCTTCTATCTATACTTTATTCAGCAAAAATGTGTAATTTCAGTGAACAAACATGTGCTTTTATGTGGGACAACATGTACCACGACCTGGCCCCAGATAAGAGGAAGAAAATGGATGGAAACATGACATATCAATATTTCAATATTTTTACACACCCCTAATCTCTACAGGGAAAATTATACTATTATATAATGACAATAAAGGCTATTCTATTCTATTCTATTCTATTCCTTTGTGCTTTCAGTCATAATTTAAATAAACGAAAATGTAATTTTAGCATAGTCTTAATGATTACTGTTTATTTCAGTTCTTTATTTTGTCAGTTAAAAAAAATGTCATTAACAAAAACAATGATGAAATATTTTAGCTGATAAAATGAATGGTGGTTTTAATGACTTGACTGTGTCTGGTGCAGGACACTGGTTCTCAGTGGAGGGGAAGAACGAGGAGAGAGGCATTCCAGGACTGTCCTACCTCAGGAAACTCTACGTGACAGTGGACGGCGTCACCATCACTCTGATGAAGAGCCGACGAACGCTGGTCAGTGAACGCAACACAGCAAAAACTCAAAATGTAGATGGTGACAGAAATATATCGCACAAATTTGATGAGAGTTTGGCTTCAGATGTCTACATATATCATAAAAAAGTTCAGCATGTTTTGTCACTCCTTTCAGAAAGACAAACCTGTATTTATTTAGACTTATTATATACAGAGTGAAGCTTTCAAGCCTTTATTTCTTGACATTTTTTTGAATGTGCCTACAAATAATGAAAATTCAGTGTCTCAGAAAAGTAGAAAATGATCATTTAACTATTCTTTAACTAGTTTTCATTAATTTACTTTATTTAAACAACTTAATTACACTTTTTATTAGTTGTTGCCTTAGTCCAATTTCTATTAAAGGTCAGTAAAAGTGATGAAGCTCATTTAAAAAAGTATGATGAACAGTACCAGTACATTTTTAATCTCAAATATAGTTTTCCTTTCATAGGGCACTTACTACTTTAAACATACAAAATACAAATACAAGACAGATATTTAACTGTCAACATGCAATGGTGTATATAGGTCTGTTTCGATGTAGTTTGTCTGTGAATGTGTTGCCATAGTCTAGACCCCATGTCTGGTTAAGATTAGGCACAAATCTTTAGTCGAAACTGGTCAAAAAGCAGTAAGGAAACACGTCCTATTCTCCTCAACACACAACTGGACTGATACAAATATAACCCACAGTATTTGTTTTCTGTTGTCCAGGTGAACGGCCGTCGCGTGGCGCTCCCTCACTCGCTGCCCCCTCAGGTGACCATCAGTCTGGCCGGACAGTACGTCACTCTGCAGACGCGCTTCGGTCTGGTGGTACGCTGGGACGGCAACCACTACGCCCAGATCACCGTGCCCAGGTGGGTCAAAAACACACTCTTTCCCCTTTAATAGAGGAGCTTATGGTTCCCTCGATATATTCATTTTTTCTTCCCCCTTAGTCTAACAAAAAAAGTGTAAATTGATAGTACAAATGAATGATACTTCATGATGGTAGTATTGTCATAAACGTGTAGAAGTAACTGTATTCAATGTATGTATAACAGTGATTTTGAACAGTAGAGAATATGGTGCAAAATCAAATCAACATCAAAATCGGCATCAAAATCACAACACAATCAATTTCAAAAACAAATTAAATCAAATCAACATCAAATCATAATCAACATCAAATCAAAATCAAATTAAAATCTAATAAAAATCAACATCAACCACAAAATCAAATCAGAATCAAATCAACATCAACATCAACCGTAAAATCTAATCAAAATCAAATCAACATCAAAATCATCATCAACATCAACCACTTTATCAAATCAAATTCAAATCAAATACAAATCAACATCATAATCAAATATGGGTTGATTTTGCTACTATATGAACTTTTGGGAAACAAATCAAAATCTTATAAATCTCATTTTTGTTTTTTTATTTTATTTTGTGATATTATGTTATCACCAAGGACATCTCCAATTACACCAACAGATTTATAGACAGACAAGGTTGATAAAGTGTCTCGCCCAAGGACACAATAACAGTACAATGATAATGGGCACTGAACCAACAACCTGCAGGTTAAACATGTCCACAAGCTTTAGTGCATTACACCAGATCATGAAGAATAGTTTTTTTCTTTAACTGCGTATTAAAAATTTAACAATTTCTGGTCAAACATTTTTTATTCCTATGCTTTTTTGTTATTTTTCTTGTATATAACATTCCAAAATAATGATTAAAATAAGATACTATGAAATATAACATAAGATTTGATCAGATTTTTCATCAAAACTGAAATTATGAATTCAAAGTTTGAACATACATTAGACTTAGAACATATGTTTATCTTTTGACTCCTAAAAGTACATGATTCTCTGTCTTCAGCTCGTTCCAGGACCAGATGTGTGGTCTGTGTGGAGACTACGATGGAAACCCCAACAACGACTTCACCAAACCGGACGGCTCTCTCACCCCCAGCGTCAACGACTTCGGCAACAGCTGGCAGACCGACAAGGACGAAGACAAAGTGTAGGTTCTCCTCGTCTTCACTGCCTTTACAATCTGACTAAACCATGTAAGGGACAGTTTGTGCAAAAATGTGATATTATTTAAAGGTGCACCCTGTAACTTTTTGTTTGGGGGTTTGTCACCTTTTTGTTTCTATGGAGATGTCATTGCTTTGCCTGGAATGTTCCACAGTATGACACTAAACACATCTACCTTACATTTATTCAATTACAGATGGTTTTATAGCTCAAAAATACCTAGAAAAACAGGCATTCTGACTGATCGACCGCTTCCTCAGATTTGACCTATAACTTGGTCTGTTTTGGTCTTCATGAAGATAAAAAAGGTTTAATGCCATACTGTGGAACATTCCAGCTAAAGTAATAACATCTCTACAGGGAAAAGCACATAATGCACCTTTGAATGATGATGAAAATGCTCTGTTCCACATTGTGATGTCATGAAGAGGTAGCGATCAGTTACCTTTTAGCTTTAGTTTAGTATAAATTCCTTAAAATTCTAGGTCTGAGCACTTCCCGTATTACCCCGTGAACAAAAAGCTCGCTCCTTGTGCTTATGCGGTTCAGCTTCTGTCAGACTTACTCCAGGAGGCTCCTGACTCCGGTAGCCATAATGTTCTGACAATCCATCAAGCAGTGCGGTCAACTTACCAAAGTCGTACCAAAACATTTTGACAGATTTTTGAGCGGCGTGTACCACATAAAATTTGTTTGAGGTCAGTAAGCACAACTAGACTGAATACATAAGGCGCACTGTCCATTTTTGAGAAAATTAAAGGATTTTAAATGCGCCTTATAGTCCAAAAAATACGGTACAAATAAAGTAAATACAAGAGCTTGAAGTAAAAACAGTGCAAAGATGATATAATGATAGACGTTGTGATTGATGCTGATGTTGTGTTGTGTTCCAGCTGTACTCCCGGGACTGGGCCTGATCCAGACTGTGACCCGTCTCTGGAATCCGAGGTGGTTAAACCAGAAAAGTGCGGAAAGCTCAAGGACCCCGCCGGACCCTTCAGGTGAGACAGAGGAGCAGGCTTTTTATAATACATATCTACTCACAAACCTACTTGGAATTTTTTCCCACTCAGTCCTTGTGAAGAGATATAAAACATAATACATACAACTTTTAAGAGCTTTTAAAGGTCCTATATTACACAAAATTGACTCTTGTGAGCTTTAAGACATGTTAAAATGCTGTTGCCTTGTGTGTTAAACTTGTGAATGAAACAAAACACAACTCCAGGTCTGTTTGTGACGAGGAAACAACATTAGAACAGAGATAAGAAAATAACGTCATGTGGAACCTTTAACCGTGATATAAACTTCCTCTTGGTTGGAATGTTTTTGGTCTCACTCTAACTCTTATGAGATGTCATTTAGATAAGACAGTTTACAGACAGCTGGGTTGTGATGGCTGTGCGTTTGCTGTTTGTGCTTTAGGATGTGCGAGTGTTATGTAACAGTTCGCTGTGTTCCTCGTGAGTGTGTCATGATCCTGCAGTAAACATGAGTCACAGGGGAACTCCTCCACAGCCTGCTCGCCTCAGCACCTGTTTATCTGCTGTGCGTGTCAGGACAAAGGACATCCACCAACACTCTCCATCACACTTATAAACAAACAGCCTTTCCATAGTTACGACTGCTCATATTACCATTAGCTCTTTTTTTTAAGAGTTAAAACGTTAGGTGTTAACTTGGATGTGCGATGTCAGCTTCTTCATTCCAATTCGGTTCCAATTAATTTCAAGGCTGGAATTAACAAAACCAAAACTGATTCCAAATATCAATCATACATATATTATACAGGTATATGTCTCATTATTTCCTCCTGTGCACTGTAAACCTGAATAAGTTATCAGAACTCAAAAAGTTTAATCAATCGATTGCCTCGGTTATTTTAAGTTGATGAACATAGAAGTCACAATCTTCCCGAACTTAAAAGATTGGACAGCTACTTGTACCTTTTGAAAACATCTGAATTAAAAGTGTTAATTTAACTCAACTCAAATATTTATAGTTAGAGTTTTCAAACCACTGGAATAATTTAATACATTTTCAGTTTTGTATATAGTTCATGATTTTGTACACACATTGTACACACAATCAAATACATCCAGCTGTAGTACTCACATTATAGTACACATATAGACACATCATAGTATACACACATTATACACACCCTAGGAGCGGGATTTGAACCCAGGTCTCCCATGTGAAAGATTTACTAATCTAATCAATATGATATAATATGCATATAGTTTAAAACACATACATAGTTACATATATTACACTTTATACTATACACATAGTACATTATACACACATTACATATTATTTTTAACTACTTATTTCTACTAAGTTGTACCTCATCTATGTTTTTAAGTTACCCTCACATATACCCACAGGAAATATTAGTTAAAATTACTCAAAAAGAAGAACACGTTAAAGCAGCTTAACATAATTAATGACATAATTTGTAGGACTATTTCTAAAATTATATATATATATATATATATATATATATATATATATATATATATACATATACACAACTAAATTACTTTGAACACTCAGGTTACAAAGTTAAAAACTCTTAACAAACTTAACAACTAAATTTACTTTTTGTTTACTAGAGATTGGCAATTCCTGGTCTGAATTATTCAAATGATTTAAGTGAAGGTGTGTGAAACACAGTGAAGTACAATGGAATGCTTTTAGTTTGGGAGAAAAGAAGAAGAACTCAGTCTAAATGTGCAGAGTTTGTGTGCGTTAAACATTAAACGTGTGAATGAAACAAAACACAACTCCAGGTCTGTCTGCGATGAGGAAACATTATAACATAGATCAGAAAATGGCCTATCATTACTCTTGTTTCCATGACAAAAGCTTCATTTTGACAATCTAAATGATCTTTTTGTGTCTGTGTGTATTCTAGGGAGTGCATAGGTGTGGTGGACCCAACCCCGTTCTTCCAGAGCTGCGTGTACGACATGTGTCAGTTCAACGGTCAGCAGCATGTGCTGTGTGACCAGCTGCAGGCCTACACCGACGCCTGCCTCAGCGCCGGAGCCAAGGTCCACCAGTGGAGGGCGCCAGACTTCTGCCGTAAGCACACACAGAATCTTACGATATATCAAGAGGAGAGGGTCAGAGGAGCAGAGGAGAGGGTCAGATTTATCAGAGGAGCAGAGGAGAGAGTCCGATGGAACAGAGGATGTAGAGGACAATGTCAGATTTATCAGAGGAGTAGAAGAGAGGGTCAGAGGAGCAGAGGATGTAGAGGGGAGGGTCAGATGGAGCAGAAGATACAGAGGAGAGGGTCAGATGAAGCAGAGGAGAGGGTCAAAGGGTCAGAGGAGCAGAGGAGAGGGTCAGATGAAGTAGAAGATGCAAAGGAGAGGGTCCAGTGGAGCTGAGGATGCAGAGATGGTCAGTGGGAGGAGAGGAGATGGTCAGAGGAGCAGAGGAGAGAGTCAGATGAGCAGAGGAGAGAGAGTCAGATGAGCAGAGGAGAGGGTCAGAGGAGCAGAGGAGATGGTCAGATGGAGCAGAAGATGCACAGGAGAGGGTTAGAATCATAATTATGTCATTGTGGTGTGTTCCAGCGCTGGCCTGCCCTCCCAACAGCTCTTACTCCCTGTGCGTGAGCTCGTGTCCGGAGACCTGCCTGGGCATGGTGGGGCCCCCCGGCTGTGAGGACAAGTGCGTGGAGGGGTGCGAGTGCAACCCCGGCTTCATCCTCAGCAACGACCAGTGCGTGTCGGCGAAGGACTGCGGCTGCGTGGACCCCAACGGAAGCTACCATCCCGTGAGTACAAAGAGGACACCCGGAAGAAAATATGAGCTGTCAATGAGCACACAAAATATTCCAAAGTAAGTTTAAAATCTGAGTAAAACAGGCTACAAGATCAGGAATCAATGAGCAATTCCTTTGTCGTCATTGTCATATAAAATAACAACGGAATTACAGTTAGAGCATCAGACAGACTGCAGTGTTTTAAAATGTGCAGTGTAGTGTGGAGCGCCCCCTTATGACATGACCACGTAAACATGACACCCACTGTGTGAACATTAGAACACAGCACGAGAGATAATCTCAGAGCAGCAGAAAAGACGCAGATCAACATCACAACAAAACAACCAAAAGAGCTGGGACATCAGGGACACGTGTACCGTATTTTCCGCATTGTAGGTCGCGCTCTTAAGCCTCTAACCCCATCAAAAAATGACAATCCAGAGCACCCTTTACACGAATCCACTCGGGTGTCCCAGCACGACTTCAGTAAACTACAAAGCCGCACCACCCTCAGCGCACACAAACACACACGGAGCAAAAACACACCCACAGACACACTCATCACTCCACGCCGACGAGGAACGGAACAGAGGAACGAACCGAAAAAGCGAGTGCAATGTGCCGCTTCTAGACACAACTGAACAACTGAGTCACTGCGAACACGACAACAATCCAGTGGTCCCAGACAGCACCCTCCCTACACGCCACAACTGAACAAAGCCCAGAGTCACCGTGAACGCCACAAACAAACAAAACCACTGACACATCCAACTGTTGTGTTTCGTTTAAAGTCCGGTGCGGTTTATTTGTGAAAAAAGTTTGAAAATAGACCATTAATGACACCTTATTGAATGCACCTTATAATCCAGAGCACCTAATAGTGCGGAAAATACGGTATTTAAATGTTTTCAAATGTCCAAAGCAAAAGTCCAGTTCACAGTTCTTGTACTGGGTGGAGGTGGTACAACAGGGGTGTCAAACATACTCCGGATCCGCCCCTCCACGACCTTTAATCTGTCCCTTGGCTGATTTTCTACTAAAATATTTCAATTATATTTTAAAACCTGAAGACAGATTTTGCAATTTTTCGCACACCATTCACAGTCAGAACCTGTGATGTGCCCGCAGACATGCAACTAGAAATTATAGATGTACAGTGACTACCTTTCTCACTAATGAACATTAATAAAACAAAGCTGCACTCAAAGCTGAACATAACACACAAGCACCTGAATGAATTTGAATTTATTTGAATTTATTTGTGTGGAGGATAAGCCCCTTGAGATGTGTCACCATCTCGTTTTCAAGGGGGTCCTCAATGACATTCTGAAAACAGTAGCTACTAGGGGTGTGCAAAAATATTGACATATCAATATATTGTATGGTTTAATGTGATTATACAGTATCAATATCATGGGCTGCTGTATCGATATAATGGGGTATATTTTCAGTAATTATTTTGTTACAGCTACAGTTTTGTTGCTTGTTCAGAGGAAGGAATCTTTTTTATGTGACACATTTGACATTTTCACTGTTTTGATGATTAAAATTGGCATTTTCCAGATGAACTTTGCACAAGAAATGGTTTAACAAACACTTTTATTATCAGAGCCATGATTTAGCTTTTGTTTTTTTATTGAACCGTATCGAATCGATTTGAAATATATCGTATCGAACCAAAAGTGCAGTGTATCGAGATATGTATCGTATCGTGGTCTGTGTATCGAAGTATGTATCATATTGGCAACTTCTTAATGATTCCCATTCCTAGTAGCTCCTCAGGACATGGTGCCTGATACTGATGCACTTGTGCAGAATAAAAGATGCCAAGTTTCAGGAACAAAAAGAAAACATGACTAAATTCTATGAAATGCAAACAAGTTCATGTTAAAACATTGTGTTGAAATTGCATTTTGCTTAAAGTTTCAGGTTGTTCATAATATTATAATATTTTGTAAAAGAAAGAGTTCATCAATTAAAAAAGATTTCTGTAATAGATTTGTGTTTCTCTGCACAAATATTTGAATTTATTGTTATTTCTTGGGTATATATGACATGAGTTTTCTGATCCGGCCACTTTGGGATGAAAGTAGGTTGGATACAGCCCCTGGACCAAAATGAGTTTGACACCCCTGGTCTAGATGAATGTCCCTCTGGTTGTCCTCACCCTGGTGTCTGTGTCCCTCAGGCTGGAGACAAGTGGCTGGTGCCGGGCTGTGAGCAGAGCTGTCAGTGTCTGAGTGGAGGGCTGATCCAGTGTCAGAACACCAGCTGTAAACCCACCACCGAGAGCTGCCAGCTGCACGATGGGGAGTACCAGTGCAGGCCTCTAGGTACAGTCTACTACCACAGACATGTCCCCACACTCACTGTTTGTCACGCCGTTAAGAATGTGGTCCCTAAAAAGCTGAAGAAGATAATACTATTTCTCTCTTAACTTCATTACCTGACCAGCCAGAATATCACGCTTTGACTTTGAGGGCATGATTTCAAAATTACTTTCTGAAAATAAACTGTACAGACTTTCAATAATTTAACAAATTTGACACGAATTTGTTGAATTTATACTATACTTCTTGATACTAAAACTAGTACTGAAACTAGATACTAATTTTTCATAGGTATCGATACTAAAATTAAATTTTAATGTCTTTAGAATCATGTTGATCTGTATCAGAACAAGTAGAAGAGCACATAGACTATTATACACACATGAACCAACATGAACCTACTGCACCACTGAGGATTACACACATATAAGACACATGGGGATACAAAAGAAAGTACTACCATTTAAGGCTGAAAATCGCATTCTATTGTCTAAAGAAAGTGTTTTTTGTTATCATTGTGATATTGGAATCAGTATTTAGTATCGAGACTTGTTCCTTAATTGAAAAAGCCGCTCTAAGTGCAGCTATTGACTCATTTATTCAATTTATTATTGCTCAAATAAATGGCAAATTACACATCTTGGTGTGTGCAATTGTGCACCCCTTGCTATTTTTATTTGAGAGGTTTATTTCATTCCAATTGTCCAAATCCAAATGTAATAAACCCCATGGAAATGCAGGGAGTGATGTGGCTCTGTGTTCTGGGCACCAGCTGTTTCCACGACTGACACCAGTCAAGTCATGGGGACATCGCACTTTTGTTTTGAGACAATAAGGATATTTAGAGTTTACTTACAGACTTGATATTTTGTACTTTTGAAGCTAAGATAACATTTTTTATGTCCAAAATGTTGTTTATACATGTTTGCCGTGTGTTTTATATAAAGAGTGTATTTATTTTCCTTTTTTTTTTCATTTGTATTTCTGGTCCTGTAGTTTTTATTGCAGCCATATGACAGAATTACAGCAGCAGATTGTGAAATAACAGGCTGTACTGAAAAAAAGGATGTATATCACTTCATTAGGGGGCAAAAGGGCGAGTTTTAAATGCAAGTTAAGAAACAAGTCAGTTGAGAAAAAATATACTAAAACTGCCCTTAGGTCTTGAAGAGTTCATTTCAAAATGTCAGTATAACAATATAAGACAGAATATTTATTTAATTTAATTTTTTTTTTTTTTTTTGAGACAGGGACAGCGCACAATTTTCGCATTAACCTTGACGGGAGAGATGCATTGTACATCAGGTTGTAGCATCAGTGCTAATTTCCACCTGTCGTCCCTGGACAGGTTCATTGATTGATTGTATTTAACTGACCTTGAATATCAACTGTTCTGGAGACCTGTAACATGTTTTGGGTTGATGGGGGAAACCGGAGCGCCCGGAGGAAACCCATCCAGACACGGGGAGAAACATGCAAACTCCACACAGAAAGGCCCTGGGCGACCTGGGGATCGAACCCAGTTTTGAATTCTTAATTTCTATAGCAAATGTGCCCTTTTTGTATCACTCTGAAATGTTAAAGTTGAAAAGATGTATTTCATGACATCATCTTGTTTGATTTGTTGTGACTGTCAGTCTTCCCCCATTGAGTTCAACATACTTCCTCTTTACATAGAAAAGGACAAAACATCCAAACTGTTTATTGTTCACTCAGGCCATGGACTGTATAAAGAAGGAACTAAGAGAGTGTGACATCATCCAGTCAAGTGAAGCTCACCAAGGCTGGCAGTTAAAGGAGAAAATTTGAGCAGAGTTCCATATTAGGAATAACAACTGATTTACAGGCAAAATAGCAAAATAAAAATGGTGATCATGTAGAGAGGGCTAATAGATACAAAACATTTTCAGATCAAAATGATGAGGCTCACTGCAGTCTATGTGCATGCTTCGTATTTATATATTCATAGACCGTTCATTCATTCAATTATTTAACCTTTCCTGCATGTATTTATCTATTTCTTATGAAGGAACTGGCATCTGCTCAGTATCTGGCGACCCCCACTACACCACGTATGACAAGAGGACCCACCACTACATGGGGGCGTGCTCGTACACTCTGACCGAGCCATGTAACGTCACCTCCGGGCTCCCGTACTTCAGCGTGTACACCCAGAATGAACACCGGGGAAGCAACCGCAAAGTGTCCTACGTCCGAGCTGTGGGCATCACCGTCAACAACATCACCGTGGTGCTGGGCAAGAGCCGGACTGTGCAGGTGAGAGCTTAGACTGAACTTTATTAAAGAGTAATCCTTCATGCTGTGACTGTTTAGAGCTGGAACTATACAACCTGTTCTGCGTCATCCCTACTGTCCACCAGAGGGCACCATTTACACAGATTTTCAGAGAACCATAGTTACATTTGTGACTTTGATTTTCTGTGTCAGGGTTCTCCAACCTTTTTCGTCCGGTGAGCTACCTTTACAAAACAAAAATGCCAGTGAGCTACTAGTTTTAGTGGTCACAATAAATTTAGTATATAAAAGAACTACAGCAAAGATAAAGTACAGTTAGATTAGAGTGATTGGATGTCCCTATTTATTCGGGACAGTCCCAGTTTTGAGCCCTGTGTCCCCTGTCCCAGCAGATTTATTCAAAACTAGTGATTTGTCCCAGTTTTATACAAGAGATGTCCCAGGTGTCCCTATTTTTGACCAAACTGATGCCCGCCAACAGTAAAGCGAGGAATAAATAGTCTTTTGTTTAGGTAAAATACAGAAAAGCTGCTTAAAAACAACCAAAACACAAAGAAAATGTGACTAGTCATGAATGGGCTGAGTGCAGAAACGTTTTCCTTAATTGCGCACTCATTTCAGAATTGTATTATTACCAACCACCCAAACCAGGGATGTCCCAGTTTTGATTTTGAAAATCTGGTCCCCCTAAGTTAGACGCCTATAAAATATAAACCATTATTCATTTATTAGTGTACAAAGTAAGGCATCAAAATGATACATGTACAATGGTAAAGGCATTTAATGAATTAAATTTTACTTATTCAACACAATACATATAATTCAGAAATCCCTTGGTGAGCTACTTGGAAGGGAATGGAGAGCTACTGGTTAGAGACTTCTGTATTATATATTTAAATCAGCTGTGTCTTTTTTTTTTAGGTCAAAGAAACCAATTCTGACATGTCTAATGAAACACTTCAAATATGTTTCTAATAAATTAATGATTAAAAACTAATCAAACAAGTCAGATGTGTACTCAAGTAGCAGTAATAAGTATTATTGTCAAGTATTCCTCAGTGTGTCTTCTTCCTCACAGGTGAATGGGCGTGTTGTCATCCCTCCTGTCTCAGTGGATGGGATCCAAATTTATCTCAGTGGAAAGTTTGTGGTTCTGGAGACCTCCTTTGGTTTAAGAGTGCGCTTTGATGGAAACCACCACGCTGACGTCACCGTGCCCACCTCCTACAACGGCCTGCTCTGCGGCCTGTGTGGTACGTACCGCAGCTGGACTTCTGATGATGGAAGTTTTAGAAGAAGGTCACTGTGGTTGATTGTGTGTATGAATTTCCATCACTTTTTGTGTTTGTGTGTGTGCTTGTGAAAACAAAACACACAAAAAGATAGTGCAGGTAAAATATTGTTACTGCTGACTCCTTACAGGAAACTTCAATGGAGACCCCAAAGACGACAACCTAAAGCCAGACAAAACTCCTGCCGCTAACACCAACGAGCTGGGAGACAGCTGGGAGGTGCCCGACCCTCGGCCTGAGTAAGTCTAATGCTCCTCATACTGTCACAGCTGGGGGGCGCTGTGCTCTTCTTCATGAACCACTCTGTTCTTTCAGCTGCACCAATGGAGGAGGACAGGAAGACTGCGATCCAAAGGTGGAGGAGGAGGCCAAGAAGCCCACCAGCTGTGGCATGATCACTGACCCCACTGGTAATAGAGGGAAAAGCAGAGGAGCACTGAGCAAGGCAGGACACTGGGCTAAATAAACCTGGGTGTTTTTTTTTTGTTTGTTTGTTTTTCAGGCATTTTCAGTCCCTGTCACTCTGTGATTCCTCCCGGCCCATTCTTTGAAAACTGTGTGTACGACATGTGTGCCACTGGGGGCCAGACGGTGGCGCTGTGCCAGGCCATAGAGAGTTACGCAGACATGTGTGCTGCTGCTGGAGTGCCCATCGCCTGGAGGAACAGCACCTTCTGCCGTGAGTCTGTCCACTGTTTGAACTCATGTAGTGTCCACAGCGGTCTACACCTGTCCTGTGTTATCCAAAAGGAAATACATGAATGCTTTAACAGCTGTCTTAAGTAGGCCTGTCACGGTAAAAAAAAAAAAAAAAAAAAGTGATGAAGTAAATATAGCTCAGATACATTCAAAATGAGCTACAATAAATAAATGTCAGATATGAAACACTACTGTATCTATGTGTCATAGAAGATAATCATTCAACATTTTTAGCTCAAACATCATCATAATACAGAAAAATAATACAAATTTCCCCACAAGTACAGTGATGAAGTACCCGCTTATAGGGCTGTAACGATATTCAAGTCTCAGGAAATGATATCGTCAAAGCTCATGATATGGTGGAGAGGCTCAGGATGAGAGATGTTAGAATATCCAAATCTCTCTGTACAATATTTTCATGATATACATCTCACGGTACGATATTTATTGTGATATTTTGCGGAGATTAACAAAATTGATAATGTGCTACTTTTTCCTCTTAAAATGCCTTGACTTAAACCAAAGAACTAAGACTTAAAAGTGTTAGAACTGTTATTTCTTCTTGTCGTCTTCACTGAAAGAGAGCAAAGGTTTATGGTCTATGTAGTTCCTTCTGTCTTTTTTTTAGCTATTGCTGCACTATAAATCTTCATTTAAACAAAGAGACTTGTGATTCGATATATTGTGATGATCCATGATATTGTTGTGAGAACTCTGACGATACGATATCACGATATTTCGGTTATTGTTACATCTCTACCCGCATGTAAATATTGACCCTCAAAAATTATTATTCCAACTATTATTTATTGTACAATAAGTCGATATAGTAATGATAGTGACAGGCCTAGTCTTAAGATGGTAGACCTACACATATGAACTAACAGTTTGCAGCCTCAGAATGCCAAAACTGGTCATTATTTGAATGAGTACAATAATAATATCCACTAATGTGCTATTTCTCTCTGTGCACACAGCTCTGAAGTGCCCCTCTGGCAGTGAGTACAGCCACTGCACCTCAGCCTGTGCCCAGCCCAGCTGTCAAGATCCCGCGGGCACCGGGGGCCCCTGTCATCTGCCCTGTGTGGAGGGCTGTGTGTGTGCCCCTGGCCTGGTGCTCAGTGGAAGCAAGTGTGTGCCCCTCACTGAGTGCGGCTGCACAGACGACGACGGCAAGTACAGACCGGTATGTGACATTTTCACCTTTAATCACCTTGTTACTGAAACATAATCGTGACACAGTGACACTGCGCCCCCTGCAGGTGGGAGACAGCTGGTTCAGTGAGTTGGACTGCTCGGAGCGCTGTAAATGCGTCGGTAACAACAACGTGACGTGTGAGCCGTGGCAGTGCAGCCCGGCTCAGGAGTGCAGCGTGCAGGAGGGCGTGCTGGACTGCCACTCCACAGGTGAGCTCCACTACACTTGGAACTCTGGATCTGTGTTGAATATGGACTCAGGGATCAAAGCATATATATCATTGTGCTAAAATGTGACATCACAGCAGTTTAAAAGGTTAAAAGTTGTTTTTAAAAGGAGATGGAAAACTTGACAAGAAATGTGAAATGAATAGTGGTTCTATTTAGGCACTGTGCTCTGGTGGTCAGTAGGGGTTTACAGAATCATAGTTTTATTTGTAACTCTTGATTTATTTTGTTGTAATTACCGAACGTATGAACTGTGTACATTTCAGTCAGTTAACCCTGATATAGTAAGACTGTTGTGACCCACAAAAGACTGAACTCTGATGCATTTTCAGTTTGGAGATTTCTTTTAAAATTTGACTCATCATCATGTGCAATAACATGGACATGGTTATTACACTGTTGAGCTGTTAGTGTTGCGCTGGCACAGCATTGCAGTGTAATCAATAGCAGCGTAATCAATTAAGTTGTGCTGCTGTGCTGTGCCAGGCCGACACTGCCAGCTCACCAGTGTAATGTCTTTATCAAACATAAGTTAAGCAGTTTTCCTGTGACTCTGTTCCCCTGGTTCACTGTTGCTCTGGTGCTTGTCCCCTCAGGTAAAGGCGTGTGCCACGTGGCTGGTGACCCTCACTACTACACCTTTGATGGGGTCATGCACACCTTCATGGGCACGTGCACCTACACTCTGGTGGAGGTGGGTACTGTGTCTTGTCGTTTCAATAAGACTTCTTATCTTTATGCTTCCTGCACATCACACTGTCTCCATCTCTCAGGTGTGTAATACCACTAAGGTCACTCCCTTTAAAATCGTGGCTAAAAACGAGGAGCGCGGGCAGCCTGGGGCATCGTACGTGCGCTCAGTAAAGGTCTACCTGCCCCATGACACAGTGGTGGAGCTGCAGAAGAGCCGCAGGGTTATGGTAAGTCCACAGAATTATTAATGACAGATAATACAAGAATCCCACGCTTTTGTTTAGATGTCTAAACTACAGACATAACCAGAGTTTTGTTTACAGAGGACATTTTATTATCTAAACAAGTGCGCTGCTTGTGTTTTGATAATTACACCAACTGAAATAGCAATTTAGTAGCAAAAGTTACCACCGCAGTAAATCATTTATTAATGTGGACTGGATGAATCCTGACTACAGTGTGCACTTTGAGAGCCTTGTCAAACTTTTACAGATTTAAAGTTTGAATTGAAGTACTACAATATACAATTATACATGATCATAATTATTATTAGAGACAAAGAAAACATGTTAATAATTCTGCTTTTTCAAGCGTATAGTACATATTTTGTAACTGAAAGAAGAAGTGATGGAGTTTGAGACAGTGCTCCCCCTGACTCTGTCCTCTGTGCTGTAGCTGAACGGGCGTCGCGTGAGGACCCCTCTGACCATCGCCTCCGAGGGGGCCCGGGTGATCACCAGTGGCTCCTACAGCCTGCTCGACACAGACTTTGGGCTGCAGGTCAAGTTTGATGGAGTGCACCACCTGGAGATCACAGTGCCCGGAGACTACTTCAACAAGGTACTGCAGGTTTACAGTACTTTAACTCTTTGTATAAGACACAGCCATAACAGATTCCACCATTCAGGCCAGACAATAGAGATGAGAAGGATTTTCTTTACAGTGAATTATAACTATGATATCAATCAGGGAAATGGGTTTGCATGTAATTAATACGTACTTCTAATATCAATATAATGTTATGTTAAAAAAATACTATTTTTCAATATCATTGTGATTATTTATTATTCCACATTTAGAAGTTCTTGCTGTTTTGGTTCGATGATATGATTTTTTACATATACACATATATACATATATATAGATATAGCTATAGATATAGATATAGAGATAGATAGATATAGTTTTAAATGTAGTGCCTGCCTGTGCTTTTCTGCTCTCTGTGCATCAGTCAAGTGTATCTGTAATTTTGGTGTAGCTCTGTGGCATGTGTGGGAACTACAATCACAACTCTTCTGATGACAACCTGATGCCCAACAAGAAGCCTGCCAAAGATGTGATCGAGCTGGGCAACAGCTGGAAGTCTGATGGGGACAGCGACCCAGGGTCAGTGAGGAAATCACTCTATAATCACATGTCCATACTGGCCTTTACACATTTACTTTTTCATAGAACCCGAGTCACACTAGCAACTTCTGTTTTTCCTCTCTTCCAGCTGCCAGCCTGACACGCGTCCAGACATCCACCCGAACTGCACCGCCACGGAGGAGACGCAGTACGAAGCCCAGTGCTCTGGAGCCATTCTGTCCGACCGCTTTAAGCCCTGTCATGCTCTGGTGCCCCCAGAGGCCTTCATTGGGAACTGCATCTACGACATGTGCGAGTACGATGGCATGCAGCGGACCCTGTGTGATAATGTGGAGGCGTACGCTCAGGCCTGCCAGAGCGCCGGGGTCACCATCAGCTGGAGGAACAGCACCTTCTGTCGTAAGTCTGCTCTATCAGATGTCAACATCCAATCCCAGGATTTTTTTTAATTTTTTTTTTTTTTTTTGGGGGGGGTGTCGCATAGACAGATTGGTGACAGACCCTCCACTCTGTCTGCACACTTACACCTGATGCACTTACACCTGATGCACTTACACCTGATGCACCAGACACACAGGGTTTTGGAGTCTGTGTCTCTCTTTTCTCTCGACCTCCTCGTCTTCATCTGATGTCTGCAGTGTTTCATTCAGTTTCCCAAAGAGCTCAGTTCAGTGACTGAATAAGTTTATGTCATGTTCTCAGTTCTCACGTTGTTTAGGATTTCCCACTCTATGCACACTGATTTAAAACATCTGATTACAGAGAACATTAACTGAGATGAGTGACAGGAGAGACAGACATAGACAGGTTATTGGTTGTGCATGCTGGGCTTGCTCGTTTGAGTCCAGTGCTGACCCAGTGCCAGAGAAGAACAAGTGTGAATAGTTTTACAGCCCTTGCATCACTTGGGACTTCCACGTATAGTCAATGGGAACATTCCAGGTACTCACAATGCACAATGCACAATAAAGACGTAACCCGCATGAACATAACCTGCTTAAAATAATAATGGTGCACAGTAAAGACGTCAGAAATAATTAATTTGAAGTGAAGCAGTTGATAAGGTGGAACAGGGCATTTTTGGCGAGTGAAAAGTGTGATTGTTCCAAATGCGACTCCAGACATGTTTTTCATATATGATTATTATTATTTACTATTAGTATATTATTAGTATTTATTAATGTAAACATATATAATTTAAGAAGCCTAAAAGAAGCATACTGTATTTTCCACACTATAGGACACTCTGGATTATAAGGCGTACTGTCATTGAATGGTCTATTTTTGAACTATTTTCACATATAAACCGCACCAGACTATAAGGCGCATTAAACGAAACACAACAGTTAGATAAGTCAGTCAAACTTTATTTAACATGTTCACGATAATTCTCAACTTTGTTCAATTGTAACACGTAAAAAAAATACTGTCTTGGTGAAAGCTCGGACCACAATTTATACTGATCCTTAGTCCAGGCGTCTACGATCCCTTGGCAGATCTCTGTCTTGGTGAATGTGTGTTCTCCTTCTCTCATCCACTGCTCCCACGCAGCTCACACTTTCACTTTATAACAGCCTTGAGTTTAAAGTGGGCGTTGTAAGCGTGTCTCTTGACAGGTGCATTTTGATATTAAAAGGAATCACAGTCTGTATTACTCTTGATTCTCCTGTCTACAGGAGCCGTAATGCTGCAAGTGAAGCTTTGTAGTTTACTAAAGTCGTACTAAGGCACCCCAATAAATTCATATATGTCACTCTGGATTATAAGGTACGCACTCGTTTTTTGATTAAATTAAAGGCTTTTAAGTGCGCCCTATAGTGCGGAAAATATGGTAATATGTTTCATTTAACTATAGAACACTTAGACTTTAAATTTATTGATCCACAAGGGAAATGATTTGGACACAGTAGCTCACACATCACAATATAATATAATAACAATGAGCAAAAATTTAAATGGTAATAATAAATTCTAAATAAGTAGCATAAAGAGCAAGAGACAGATGTCAAATAAGACATAATAATATAACTGTAAACGTAGAAGTCCAAATAAAATAGAAAGATATGTAATAAATATAAAATCTCAGAAAAATACAACAGGTCATAGGACAGTGCAACAATGATATGATGACAACAACTCATCCGTTACAAAAGGTGAGTGGTTGTACAGTTGTAGGGAGTATTATCTGTTACATAAAGTTAGAGTATGTATGGATTATGGTATGAATGTAGTTCTGTATCCATTCTAGGTAAAATCCTGTAGTCCAGATCAAGATTAGCTCAAGATCTGGAGGTGGGTCTGTAGGGAGGGATGGGTCTAATGCAGAGGACCGTTTTACGTGATTCGCTTCAGATGCGTTGCAAATCACAAATACATTACAGTGCTTCTAATCCCTCTTGTTGTCTGGCCCCCACAGCCAAACCCTGCCCCGTGAACAGCCATTACTCAGACTGCACCGCCCCCTGCCCCCCCACCTGCTCGGACCTGTTCCCCCTGCTGTGTCACCTGCCCCCCAGCGCCTGTGTGGAGGGCTGCCAGTGCGACGCCGGCTACGTGCTCAGCGACAACAAGTGTGTGCGCCTGGACCAGTGCGGCTGCATGGACTCCAACGGGGAGTACCACGACGTGAGTACCACCACCACTGCACCACTATGCTCAAGGGACACCATCTGCTTTTGAGTCTTGGTCGCAGTTGTTATGTTCTTTTGGACAGCATGTGGATTGTGTTGAATCTAGACTAAATACCGTATTTTCTGCACTACTACGCGCTCTGGATTAAAAGGCTAACCAAGCTAAAAGGGGAACTGATGCGTTTTACTCAAACCAACATTACTGTATTCTTGTGCAGGTCGGAGACTCGTGGCTCACAGACAAGTGCACTGAGTCGTGTCAGTGCCTCGTGGGGGGTACGGTCACCTGTAAACCGCACAGTTGTGGAGACAACACTCTGTGTGATCTGGACAAGTACGGAGACCTGTACTGCAAGCCCGCCAGTAAGACCCTCACAACACTGGATCAAACCAGACACATGGCTACTTCTAATACTTCTGTTTCTATTGTTACTGTCACTGATTCTGACTCGCTGATTCACTGCAAAGATAGGTATAAATGGTCTTCAGTTATTGTGCTTTTGAGGGGGTCGGCTGGTATGGGCTCCCTCTCATCTCCTGATTTAAGTACAAAACTGAATCAAAATGTTGGTAATATCCAACTGAACTGGTAGTGGCTGTAGCAATAGTAGTTCCAATAGTAGGAGTATTAGTGGTAGCAGTAGAAGTAGTTCTAATACCACCATTTGACCTCTGCTAATGGTAATGAAAGATTAAACGCAATCGAAACAGTATCGTCATTTCAATGAACGTGATTAGCAAATCGCATATAGGTCTGTACAAATGTGTTCTCAGATGTGATTCTTGTATTCGTTTGTCAGTTAGTATTTGCGTGTTTTTGTCAGTACTTCCTGACGCATTTAAAATGTGAAGTTTGAATAGAATAAGAACAAAAACAGACCTGGAGTTGTGTTTTGTTTCATTGATGCATGATGTGATATGGGAATACAGGAAGTGCTTCATTGTGTTTTTAAACTCCATACACCTTCACTAGAATCTGGAGGTGGGGACTTGCACATTGTGACTTGAACTTGACTTGAGTCACTATTTTTAGGACTTGAGACTTGACTTGATGAAATGGACTAAGACTTATGACTCGACTTGGACTTGAAGGTCAGTGACTTGGGACTTGACTCAGACTTGAGGCCTGTGACTTGAGACGACTTGATGCTTCTGCTAAAAACATATGTTTTTAGAAAATACTTTTCTCTTTACAGTTGTGGTGCTGAATTTTAAAGGAACAAACTGGAACATGTCCCTCCCACTTTTCTGTTTACTTTGGATGTAACTGAAGTACTGTGATGTGGTATGCTCAAATGTACTACAGTAATACACAGTACAATACAGTAAAACAGAGGGAACTACATAGAACTACTTGGCAAAATAAGTGTTATTAAGCACATTTAAATCTGAATTCTTTCTGTTCTGACTGTAATGATTCACACTAACATCTTGTCAAGACATTTAAAAAGGAAAAAATAGTATTTCTACAACTCTTATAGAAATACTCATATATAAATATACCATGACTTTAAGTATAGTGTAGTTTAAAATTCATATAAATTGCAAAAATCAAAGATGTATATGGTACTTTGATTTAAAGACATGAAATGACTTATAGCTCAAAGCAAATGACTTGGACTTGGCTCGGACTTGAGCTCAAAGACTTGAGACTTACTTGAGACAAAACAAAACAACAACTTGGTCCCACTGCTAGAAACATTTCAAATCTAGAATTGCCAATCTCTACGCAACTAAAGGTACAGCACCTGTTAACTTGAAAGTGGAACATTGTGTGTGGAGCATTTTGAGCTTTGGAGATGTAGACAGACTAATCATGCAGGATTACTCAATTGTGTGAATGAAACAAAACAACTCCAGGTCTGTTTTTGAGGACGTAACAACATTATAACATGGCATAAAGTTCACAAGAGTTAGTTTTGTGTAACATAGGACCTTGAAGCATAAATCGCAATTCCAATCACAATCACAGGGCTTGTCAGAAAAATGTATTTGATATTTTCCCCAAACTGTTCAGCCCTAACACACATCTAGTTCTGTATTATAGCCTACACTTGTATGTTTTTGCAGAGTTCGACAAGTGCAGTATCTCTGGAGACCCTCACTACCGCACGTTCGATGGCTTCGCCCACCACTTCCAGGGCGCCTACACGTACGTGCTGGCCCAGAGCCACAACGCTCCACAGGCCCTGGAGGAGATGGTCATCAGGGGCAAGAACATCCGCAGAGGAGGCAACCGCAGGGTCTCCTTCCTCGACGAGGTTTACATCGACGTCTACAGGGTCAACGTGCGCTTCCTGCAGAAGAAAGTCGTCCTGGTAGGTGCTTTTTGTGTGTATTGATATTTTTGCAGCTGGGAGTTTAAAAAAAGTGTTGAAAGTGTCTGTACAGTTGTAGGGAGTATTATCTGTTACATAAGGGTGAGTTGTTGTACAGTTGTAGGGAGTATTATCTGTTGCATAAGGGTGAGTTGTACAGTTGTAGGGAGTATTATCTGTTACATAAGGGTGAGTTGTTGTACAGTTGTAGGGAGTATTATCTGTTACATAAGGGTGAGTTGTACAGTTGTAGGGAGTATTATCTGTTACATAAGGGTGAGTTGTTGTACAGTTGTAGGGAGTATTATCTGTTACATAAGGGTGAGTTGTTGTACAGTTGTAGGGAGTATTATCTGTTCCATAAGGGTGAGTTGTTGTACAGTTGTAGGGAGTATTATCTGTTACATAAGGGCAAGATGAGCAGTTGTAGGGAGTATTATCTGTTGTATAGTGGTGAGTTGTTGTACAGTTGTAGGGAGTATTATCTGTTACATAAGGGTAAGATGTACAGTTGTAGGGAGTATTATCTGTTACATAAGGGTGAGTTGTTGTACAGTTGTAGGGAGTATTATCTGTTCCATAAGGGTGAGTTGTTGTACAGTTGTAGGGAGTATTATCTGTTACATAAGGGCGAGTTGAGCAGTTGTAGGGAGTATTATCTGTTGTATAGTGGTGAGTTGTTGTACAGTTGTAGGGAGTATTATCTGTTGTATAGTGGTGAGTTGTTGTACAGTTGTAGGGAGTATTATCTGTTACATAAGGGTAAGATGTACAGTTGTAGGGAGTATTATCTGTATCTAGTCATCTGTAATAGTCACTTGATCTTGTTGTGGTTGTCCAGGTGAACGGAGAGCGCGTGGCCCCTCCCCTCAGCCCAGCCGACGGCGTCACCATCACCATGAACTCCAGACAGGTGCAGCTCACCACAGACTTCGGCCTCACCGTCAGGTTCGACGGCAACCACCGCGGAGGTCAGTCACGCCGCGTTTTACAAGTTTATGTCACTTTGAAAACCGCAAAGGTTCTGGAAGTACAGTTTTCATTCATTTTTTTCCATCAGCTTTTCAGAAAATTCAAATATTAAGATTTTGAAGGTGGGTTGGGGCTTGTTTCTGTAGAGATGTCATTGCTCTGCCTGGGTTGTTTCACAGTATGGCATTACTGTAGAATCGATTACATTTATTTAATTACAAGTGGTTTTATTGCTCAAAAAAGACTGTGAGCGGGGTCGCCTCTCAACTGATTGATTGTAACTTGGTTTGGTTTAATCTCCATGAAGATAGAAAGGTTTAATGCCATACTGTGAAACATTCCAGACAACGCAATAACATCTTCACGGAGAAAAGCTTTTGACGGACCCCCCACCAGAAAAGTTACACAATGCACTTTTAAAGACGCGACGAAAGCGATACACCTATGTTCTAACTTGTGTCTGTAATGAGGTCGTTTTAAGATCAAAATCTGACTCTTCACCAGAAAAGTTACACGATGAAAACCATGAAAACACCTGCAAACGAAAAACGCTGCATAAAGAGTCACCACAACGGAAGAGCTCCAAACCTGCAGGGGGCGCTCTCAGTGGAGACACACTGGGTGGAGAGAGAGAAAACCATGGCTCTTTTAAAATAACTGGAGGGTGTTGCTGCTTGTATCTACCTCCAGTTGACGTAGTGACACTGGAACTTCAGCGAAAAAATCCCATGGGCTGAGAAAGGATTTTTCTCACAGAGCGAATGTAATCACAAACTGCTTGTGTTTGGCTGACAGGCACCTACAACTTTCAAAAATATCGGATTTGTTGGCGATTTTTACCTACTTTTAGATCATAAACTTTTTCTTAGCTCAGCAGTCTTACAAAACGCTTTATAATCGTTCGCTCCGGCTCCGCTCTACTCCGCTCTAGCTCCTCTCGCTCTGACTGCACATGCTCGGAAGTACCTCGCTGGGCTAAACACTAATCTAGAATTATGCGCCATTAAGCTCGGCCCACTGACTTGAATGGGCGGCCGTTTTGAAACCCTGGTTCTTGGAGAAAACGACCAACTGACGATAAACTACAGCGGGAATAAATGATTGTTACGGCTCATCGACGTGCAAATGTGTCTGTGTAAAGTCTGGAGTCAAATACAATCAAACAAACATCACGTGATGTACGAGGTTCTACAGAGATATTTTTATTATTTTTAAGCACAGTATATAAATATAATTAAATAAAAGCCACATTACTGTTACAAACATTGAGCTGTTCCACTGAGAGCGCCCCCTGCAGGTTTGTACAGTTGTAGGGAGTATTATCTGTTATAAAAGGGCGAGTTGCACAGTTGTAGGGAGTATTATCTGTCACAAACGTGTGAGTTGCACTGTTGTAGGGAGTATTATCTGTCACAAACGTGTGAGTTGCACTGTTGTAGAGAGTATTATCTGTTACAAAAGTGTGAGTTGCACAGTTGACATAAGGGCAAGATGAGCAGTTGTAGGGAGTATTATCTGTTACAAAAGGGGGAGTTGCACAGTTGAGAGGGAATAAATGATTGTTATGGCTCATCGACGTGCAAATGTGTCTCCATAAAGTCTGGAGTCAAATACAATCAAATAAATTTCACGTGATGTAGGAGATTCTACAGCTATATTCATATAATTTTTTAAAAAACAGTATATGAATATAATCAAATAAAAGCCACATTACTGTTACAAACATTGAGCTGTTACACTGAGAGCGCCCCCTGCAGGTTTGGAGCACTTCTGTTTTTTGTTTGCAGGTGTTTTCTTAGTTTTCATTGTTTTGTGTTTTGCGTCATTTCTCTATTTGCGGCACATTTGATGATGACACATTTATCTTTGTTTTTGTTTTTTTCATTTGCACCATGTTCTTTGTTTGTACCTTGTTTAAACTTGTGTTTGAGTTTGTGAATTTGCATCGTTTCTTTGCTTGAAGCTGTTTTCTGTAACTGAGACGCACTGGGCCGTTGCATCATTATATTATCACTGAAGCGCTGTTTATTTATTTTGGCTTGTAACTTTTGGTGTCTCTTTTCAGAAATCATCCTCCCGAGCACTTACAAGAACCATGTGCGGGGACTCTGCGGAAACTACGACGGAATCACCAGGAATGAGTACATGAAGCCGGACGGCACCACCACGTCCAACCTCAACGTGTTCGGAGAGAGCTGGAGAGTGAGCGACAGACAGGGAGGGCTGAGGAGCTACGATGCGCCCCCTGCTGTCCACCATGTGCGCAGGTATGAGAGGACCACTGTGCGAAGGGTCCATATTCTGCTGCCCTTTTTTTTTTTCCACAAATATACTTAGAGTTGCAGTTTGTATTTAAAGGTTGTATAGAGGATTTTCCAAGGAACGAGAAATCCAGCGACTGTTTTTCAAATGTTGCGCATGCGTGAAACCACCCCCCCTCCCCTACAGCTCCCTACGTAGAAACGTCTCCTCCCGCCTCCTCCTTACGCCAGAAACAGGTTTGTTTACAGCCGGTGCGCTGCACATGACTTGTAAACAACTAACTACAGTGTTGGTTAGGCAAGGTGGAGAAGTGAGGAGCACCTTTGCCTTGAAAATAACGTTTTCAGACATAGGATATCACATCCGTGTCCTGAAAAACGTTTGTCTAGCTCTTGGAAATAAAGTACGTTTTCATAATAAGCAGAAGTTTCCTGCCCAGGAGTAATTTGGCGACCAGTGCGTCAGTCTTTAGACCCTGCGTCTGCTTCAGTTGCGCCATCGCTGGAATGAATCTCCAAGAATCACCTTAGTTTGGCTTCGCTGCTTTTCCCCTTGTCTTCTTCTTTCAGCGAGCTCAAAAAAGGACTTTCTTTTGCAGCAAACTTCTTGTAGATTCTTGTCGCCATTGCAACAAACTTTGTGCGAACTGCAAGGAAAATATAGGTCAAAAAAGCCGCTAAGAACTGTTGCGTTGGTGGAGTAAACAGCGTCTGTCCGTCTTGCGTCTGTGGACTGCGTGACAGACGTACGTAAACCACGTAATGGCAGTGCGCAGGCAAGTCAGTTATGCTAGAAACGTAGGGAGATTGATTGACAGCCTGTCAGCTCACAGATAACGAGGCAGTGTCGTTATCTATTGGCAAATGTTTAGCCCCACCACGTCCAGAGTTGATGAATTTTTATTCTCTTTTTTTTGGTCATCATAATTACAAGGCTACTGCACCTCTATAATGCTATCATTGACAAATTGAAACAAAAAAAATCCTCCATACAACCTTTAAAGGCTTAAATGCAGGAAAAATATTATCTAATCCACTTAATTCTATAGCACATTTTATAAACATGACAGTTTCCAAAGTGTTGCACAGACAATCCCAAATAAAAACAATAAATAAAAAGCATTAAAATACATAAAGCTAAAAATTAAAACTATAAAAGTAATAAAAAGTTAATTCAAATTAAATTAAAATAAATAAAATACACAAATTGCCGTATTTTCTGTACTATAGGGGCTCTGGATTATAAAGTGCACTGTCATTGAATGGTCTATTTTTGAACTTTTTTCACTTATAAACTGCACCAGATTATAAGATGCATTAAACGAAACACAACAGTTAGATAAGTCAGTCAAACTTTATTTAACACGTTCACAATAACTCTTAACTTTGTCCAATTGTAACGTGTAAAAAAATACAATAAATACGAGACGCTAAATTGTTGGTGTATTCACAATAAGTCATAATAGTTCAAACAGTTGGGCGATTCCGGCGTCCAGCACGTCCACATCCCTCTCATCATTATCCGAGTCAGTGTGGTTACTGTTACCTGGCAGTTCAGTGATTCAGATTCAGTTCAGTCTTGGTGAAAGCTCGGACCACAGTTGATACTGATCCTTAGTCCAGGCCTCCATGATCCATTGGCAGATCGTGGTAAGTGGCTCGGCGCTGTCTCTCTGTCTTGGTGAATGTGTGTTCTCCTTCTCTCATCCACTGCTTCCACACAGCTCACACTTTCACTTTATAACAGCCTTGAGTTTAAAGTGGGCGTTGTAAGCGTGTCTCTTGACAAGTTTGATATTAAAAGGAATCACATTATGTATGTTGTCGTACAGTTTTAGGGAGTATTATCTGTTACAAAAGGGCGAGTTGCGCAGTTGAGAGGGAATAAATGATTGTTACGGCTCATCGACGTGCAAATAAAACACAGTATATGAATATAATCAAATAAAAGCCACATTACTGTTACCAACATTGAGCTGTTCCACTGAGAGCGCCCCCTGCAGGTTTGTGTTACTCCAAGATGCTCCTGATTACGGTAGCCATAATGCTGCAAGTGGAGGCTTTGTAGTTTACTAAAGCCATATTAAGACACCCCAATAAATTCATATATAAGGCTCTCTGGATTATAAGGCGCGCAGTCCTTTTTTGATTAAATTAAAGGCTTTTAAGCAGCACCTATAGTGCGGAAAATACAGTGCATAATTTAACAGCAGAAACTAAGAATGTCCTGATGTGCCTGATGATATACTGAATAAATAAAGCTGCTAAAACCTTGAGGAATGAAAGAGATTAAATTTATTTGGCCTCTGCGGACCATTTGAGAGAACGAGGAATTTAAGCTAAATCGGGCAGTGTTTATGTTCATGGGACAGTGCACATTACTAAACATGTGTTAGTGCAGCATGTGACATGCCAGAGTTTGTCATGCAGGCACATTTTCATTCGTAGTCCCACAGACGGGATGATGGCAAGATAAAAAACAAGACAGAAGCACAAAACATTCAGTCCATCACACATGACAAAGACATTAAAGCGACAGTCTGGAATTTTAGACATAGGGCCTCATTTCCTAGTGAACCAGAGTGTTGGCGACGTGTGGAGACACTTTTTTGAAATATTCATGCACTAGCCTAGCTGGTGCTAGCTAGTGCATGTCAATGTCTTACCCACTCCACAAAACACCCGAAACAAATCTATTATTACACCAGACTGTCCATGTGAATGTCTGTGTTGATAGAATAATGTTTGAAATAAAAGTAACCTTGCATCACATGAATCGTCGCATGTTGAGGGACTATTTTCCCAGCAGCTGCAGAATTTTTCTTTGCCAGTAAGACAGGTGCTAGGTGATATCAGTCGCTGCCAAACTTTCTATCAGGAAGTACAACTCACTGCTGCTGCTCAGACAGAAATCCTTCAAATGTAAGGTTGGTTTTACTTCTGAAAGTTATTCCATAGATTCTTTATAGCTTTTCTTCGGGTGTTTTGTGGAGTGGGTAAGACTGTTTTTAGTGGCAGGATAACTATGGCCATGACTTGCGCTAGTCTAGCACCAGCGATCTCTGCAAATACAAGGACTGAATGGAATATTATATTATATATTATATAAAAAGTGTCTCCACATATCTACAGTATTCTGGCTCACTAGGAAATGAGGCCCTATATCCAAAATTGTGAACTGTCCCTTTTAAGTTCTGTTGTGTGGACAGATGTGATTGTCCAATAGTCACGATTTAAGTTGGGCAGAGGAGCTGAGTGTAGCAGCTCACGTACAGTGTCTGTGATGGTGTTTCAGGTTTGAGAGGCGCGGAGAGAAAACACAGTCTGTCCAAAGACACTTTTCCTTGATGGTTTTATACATTCCCTCTGGAGCTGCTCTTGTTGATTTGTTCAGATTTTTTTTAACAAATACTTGCAGTGGGACACGGGTCAGAAATCTGTGTATCATTTGTTCATTTGTTTTTTTAAATATAAAACCAAAAATAAGAAAATGAAAAACCAACAATTTCTTCATTATTTGTCTCCAAAACCAAAATGAAAAAACAGATAAGTTCAGTTTACGGCCGTTTCCCGTTTACATGACTTCCTCAACTGCGATGCCGGAGTTTTGTGCTGCATACGGACTGACCAGAACCAGACCTGGACTGAGACCTGGACTGAGACCGGGACTGAGACCGGGACTGAGACCGGGACTGAGACCGGGATTGAGACCGGGACGGAGACCGGGACCAGAGCGGGACCAGAGTGGACTCCAAGTTTTGACTCCGGCCTCCGCGGGGTCCGAGCCTCAGCTTCGAGCTCCGGTCCTGCAGTGGGCTCTGAACCTCTGGTCTGGTCCCGGTAAACGGGAAGCGGCCGTTATCCATTTTTTCCATTCTTCATTTAAACACAAAATTGAAAACTGAAAAAATGAACTATTATCCATTTTTTCATTTTGTTTTTCGAGACAAATAATGAAGAAAACTGTTGTTTTTTCGTTTTCTTATTTTTGGTTTTATATTGAAAAACAAATGAACAAATGATACACGGATTTCAGACCATGTCATATTTTGTACACGAGAACAGTCTCCAAATTTGATCATGTTATCCCAGCCTAATATGATGTGTTTTTTCAAAATAATGCAGTGATGGTGAGTCTTTGGCTTTTTGTCTAGAGTGAGTTTCAGTTGGTTTCAGAGTGGTGTGCATGCTGAGGCCCAGCTTGTCCTGCAGTATGTCATGTGAGAAACAATTATCGCATTGAAATATTGCTTAGCTGCTTCCAATGTTTGGTGGTCTTTTACTTATGACCTTTTATACTTCCATGGTCACTGGAAAGATGTTGTTGCCAGGTTATAGCTCCGTAACTATAGCTCCATAATTTACACCTGTAGTCCCTGAGTAGGTTGGTGCACTGGAAATATTAGTACAGTACAATACAGAAGAGTACAAAAACACTAAACAGATCCTTTGGGAGATGCTGTTGTCACTCCAGTCGTCTCCATACACACTACAAACTCTTCATATATTACACAGAGTTACATCATCCAAATATTATTCTGAAATTTATGCCCACACACATAAACACCATCATTCTCCTCTCCCTTGTGTGCCGTAGGCGTGCGACAGAATCTGATCCGGATTCCGGCTTCGAGACCTCGGACTGCTCCAAGGCCCAGCTGGATCTCTACAGCAGCGCCAGCCAGTGTGGAGCCATATCGGACTCCCTGGGGCCCTTCGCTGCCTGCCACGGCCTGCTGAACCCCAAGACCTTTCAGGAGTGAGTGTGCACCACCAGGGTATAACATGTACATGACTAAAATGAAGGGTGGACGTTCAGCTCTCACTTTTGGTATCATGTCCTTGGGCAAGACACTTCCCCCACCTTTTATGTATGAGGGTGAAGGAATATTGTCCGTATGGAATGGTTTAGACCTGGTTTAGACCTGGTTTAGACCTGCTGTTATATATAGACCTAGTCTGGACCTGGTTTAAACCTCTTATAGACCTGGTTTAAACCTGGTATAGTTCTGCTGTTTTAGACCTGGTTTAGATCTAGTTTAGACCTGGTTTTGACCTGTTTTAGACCTGCTTTAGACCTGTTATAGGTTTGTTATAGGTCTGTTATAGACCAGGTTTAGACCTGGTTTTGACCTGGTTTAGATCTGCTTTAGACCTGTTATAGGCCTGTTATAGACCTGGTATAGACCTGGTATAGCCCAGAGAGCAGAGTGGTCACATTTTATGCAGAACTTAAGTAGACTTTTTGTCATTTGTTTAATCAGGTGAGGAGCCAAACAAAATATCAGCCTGTGCAGGAGATTGAAAGTCCATACGCTAAAAAGTGCAAATATCAGCCACTCAGTACTGAATATATGTACATGATTAGAGATATACTAGCACACAGTTCACAGTCCTCGTGTGTGTGTGTGTATGTGTGCAGTGACTGCGTGTTCGACCTGTGTGCGGAGGAGGGCAGTGACGCTCTGCGCTGTGCCAGTTATGAGGCGTACGCCGTTTCCTGTCAGGAGGCAGGGGGCGAGCCAGGACCCTGGAGGAAGAACCTGGGCTGTGGTAAGAACTCGAATCTCATGAGGAATATTATGACAAATCACATGTACTGTTAGAGCAATGGCAGTATGGAATGGTTTAGACCTGCTTTAGATCTAGTTTAGACCTATTTTAGACCTGGTTTAGACCTGGTTTAGACCTGGTTTAGACCTGGTTTAGACCTGGTTTAGACCTATTTTAGACCGGGTTAGACCTGGTTTAGACCTGGTTTAGACCTATTTTAGACCTGGTTTAGACCTGGTTTAGACCTGGTTTAGACCTGGTTTAGGCCTGTTATAGACCTGGTTTAGACCTGGTTTAGGCCTGTTATAGACCTGGTTTAGACCTGGTTTAGGCCTGTTATAGGCCTGGTATAGTCCTGATATAGTCATGGGTTAGACCTGTTATAGGCCTGGATTATACTGAGTTTAGGCCTTTCCACTTGCTTAATCCAGTTCTAGACTACTGTACTTTCATTTGCTTTATGCTCCTGCTTTAGTCCTTTTATAGTCCAGTGTTTAGTCCTTTTATAGTCGCACTCCCGACTCTTCTTGCTGTCTCCCTATTTAGCATTGTGTTGTGAAGGTAACAGCACATATCTGTTCTGTATGACCTCCTGGTTTAGTCCTGGCTTCATCCTGGTTTAGTCCTGGTTTCATCCTGGTTCAGTCCTGGTTTAGTCCTAGTTTCATCCTGGTTTAGTCCTGGTTTAGTCCTGGCTTCATCCTGGTTTAGTCCTGGTTTCATCCTGGTTCAGTCCTGGTTTAGTCCTAGTTTCATCCTGGTTTAGTCCTGGTTTAGTCCTGGTTTAGTCCTGGTTTAGTCCTAGTTTAGTCCTAGTTTCATCCTGGTTTAGTCCTAGTTTCATCCTGGTTTAGTCCTAGTTTCATCCTGGTTTAGTCCTGGTTTCATCCTGGTTTAGTCCTGGTTTAGTCCTAGTTTCATCCTGGTTTAGTCCTGGTTTAGTCCTGGTTTAGTCCTAGTTTCATCCTGGTTTAGTCCTAGTTTCATCCTGGTTTAGTCCTAGTTTCATCCTGGTTTAGTCCTGGTTTTATCCTGGTTTAGTCCTGGTTTAGTCCTGGTTTCGTCCTGGTTTAGTCCTGGTTTAGTCCTGGTTTCATCCTGGTTTCGTCCTGGTTTAGTCCTGGTTTAGTCCTGGTTTCATCCTGGTTTAGTCCTGGTTTAGTCCTGGTTTAGTCCTGGTTTAGTCCTGGTTTCATCCTGGTTTAGTCCTGGTTTCATCCTGGTTTAGTCCTGGTTTAGTCCTGGTTTAGTCCTGGTTTTCCTGGTTAGTCCTGGTTTAGTCCTGGTTTAGTCCTAGTTTTCATCCTGGTTTAGTCCTGGTTTAGTCCTGGTTTAGTCCTGGTTTAGTCCTGGTTTAGTCCTGGTTTAGTCCTGGTTTAGTCCTGGTTTAGTCCTAGTTTCATCCTGGTTTAGTCCTGGTTTCATCCTGGTTTAGTCCTGGTTTAGTCCTGGTTTCATCCTGGTTTAGTCCTGGTTTAGTCCTAGTTTCATCCTGGTTTAGTCCTGGTTTCATCCTGGTTTAGTCCCACCATAACCCTGCTCTCTGTGTTGTTTACAGCTCTAGAGTGTGGAGGAAACAGCACATACTCGTCCTGTATGACGCCGTGCCCCGCCTCCTGTGCCGACCTGGCAGCCCCAGCAGAGTGTGACAGTGACACGTGCACAGAGGGGTGCCAGTGCGCGCCCGGGTTTGCCATGAGCGAGGGGCTGTGTGTGCCCTTCTCCGAGTGTGGGTGCATCTTTGTCGACAGATACTACCCCGTAAGTCTCATGTACTCAACTATAGAGAAGAACTAACTGCATCTCCAGGTACAAGGTTCAAATCAAATATCAAATCAAACATCACTCTTAGTGGTAACAAATGTAATGTCTATTTAGTCTTAATTAATTACAAAAAGTTGTTTATTTTATAATTTGTTGTTTTAGTTCTCAAAACCATGATCCAGTCAGAAAGCAGAATGAGCCTCACACGAGTGTCATTTGGGTTGCCAGTTCCAAAGCTCAAACCCAGCTGGTTTAAGCCTAAAATGTCTCTGTCTGATCTGAACAGTCACTCCCCAAACCCTAGGACCAGCAGCAATCCTGAGTCAGTGCTAATGCAGCTTCTGCAGCTCAGGGAGGGAATTCTGGAGTTTCTGAGCTTCACATGAGGTGGTCGCACCAGTCAAAAAATTCATATTGAAGAAGAAAAATAATATATATAAGTCTCACTTTTTTGGGGAAATTTATGTTATAAAATCAGAGACCAGGAACCGACATTTCCTGTGTAAAGTCAAGTTCTAGTAATAACAATAGAAGAGAGAACAACAGACTGTTAACGTCACATATGAACAGTTCTTCAGATAAACTATAACATAAACAACAGAACAGAACAAGTTTACCAAACTCTCCATCTCACTCCAAATCACTGAATCCATTCAATTCTTCGTCCTCGGTGTCACTTCTGAACAACTCCACGACCTCCGGAGGTAAACAGAGCGCCGCTTTCTCTTCTGTGTCGCTGTCGTCAGATTCATCATCAGTTCCAGTTAGAATTATTCGGGCCTTTCTGAATCCCAACAGGATGGTTTCAGTGTCACTGAAGTCCAGACTTTGTCCATCCATCCAGTGACTTCAGGACAGTTTCATGGTGCATCCTCTCTGCGTCTGTTTCTCTCTCACTCCAAACTTTCTTTCTGCTGCTTGATTTCATGACTTGCAGCACTACAGAGGCTCTTTCTGCAGGAGACATTCACAGTATTGCAAAGTGACAGTGGTACAGGAGTAATAGAGTAATAGTAATAAAAGTCGCACCAGAGTATAAATCGCAGGAAACACCCAAACCATGAAAACAGTGTGACTTATAGTCCAAAAAATACAATACTCATACGCCCGATTGACTTCACTGTATTCAAGGTAGTAGAGCATATGTGAAATTGCTTTAAAAATGTGCTTTAATTTTGGTCAAATTGGATAAATTGAGCCATGTGAATGAGAACTTTGCACACTGATTTCATGAAGATGGGTGGGTAACAGGAGGGGAAGTAGCCCAAAGGAGCAGTAGCAGTCAGTTGCTAAACTGAATTCCCCAAAATGGTGATCCGGTTTTAAAAAACATGTTTTTTAAAATGTTTTCTCCAATTCAGGTCTTACATGAGGAGATGTGTGCGACTGTAGTTTTGAGTGTCCTAACAGTTTATCCTCGTGTCTGCAGCTGAAAGAGAAGTTTGTGACAGAGGACTGCTCTCAGTCCTGTGAGTGCACCACCACTGGAGCTGTGTGTCAGACCAAGACCTGTCCCGAGAACCACGTGTGCACCATCTTCGACTTCAAACGAGACTGCTTCAGAGGTCAGATACCACACATGTACTTTCTGTCATTTACTGTTACAAGAGACTGGAATTAAACAACAAGAATTCAAAAGAGGCACCAGAAACACTACCAAACTGTCCTGGTTACAGACAGTGGGTTATTTATGAGTTATAATGAACTAACAAATCCATCCACACCACGACACGGTGACGTTATACTCACTGGTAAATACTGTAAACATACCAAGGTGTTTCCTGTAAACATGAACATTAATTGATGCTGGAAGCTGCGTTAAACTGTAATGTGTAACAGTTCATTGACTGTGACGTCTGTAACCAGGACAGTTTGGTAGTGTTTGGTGTAAACTGGGACATTTCAGCGTCCCGAGGAACTTTTGGTCCCATTTCATGTGAGAAATTCAGCTGAGATGAAGGTTAAGACTGACTGATGCTCGCTGTGGCTGTAGTCGTGAATGTTTTAATCTAAACATACAGAGAACAGTGATATTTGTTAATTATCCCTGGGATAACGTTACATCTGATGTTGCCAACTGGCTCCACTGTGTTTCTACTAAGATCTAGGTGCAGTTTCCCGTTCAGAGGAGGTGTTTCTACACAATATCACACAGCAGCGTTCAGTTCCTGAATTCAATGTGGCAAGACTAGACATTTTTACAATAAATTTGAATGAACCCACTTGTTGGTCGCTGTTGTAGCTCCATGTTGTGTCATTACTCTGTTTTTACTCAGATACAAACTTAAACATGCACAGACTTGATCTTGATCGATGTTTCTTCTGCTCAATAAATAATGTCTGTGAAGTGATGATGTATTTTTCACAGTAAAGTCCCGTCTGTGAATTCGTATTCGTACTGATGAAAGCATAATCGTAAATTTTTCATTTGGTGATTATAATTCTTGACGTCGTAACTTTTCAATTTGTATTCTGATAGATAAAATACACACGATATATTTTATGTACGACTGGATTCATTTGAGAGTTTACATATATTTATTTTATGCACAACTACAGCCAAATATGCACTGATTTCCCAAATACACACAGATTTCTATGTTATGCGCTCTATACACTCTATACAGAATTAGGCTTTAATATAGAACTCTAAGGGAGGAAATACCCAAACTTCTGATCCACTGTTGAGCTTTGTCAGGTCCTCCAATCACATGTAACAAGAAGCTGAAAGTCACAAATTAAGTGCACGTTTCACTATTTCGGCACACTTGGGTCTAGTATTTGTAATGTTTTGGAATTGTAGACATTAAATCTTGGTTGTATGTTTTCCAGCGAGCCCGTGCCTGAGCTCCCCCTGTGAGAACGGAGGCACCTGCATGGAAGTGGACGTCACATCCTACAGCTGCAAGTGTCCAGAGGGCTTTACAGGAGTCAACTGTGAGAACGAGGACACCTCCAGGGGTACTTAGAATATATTTATACTCTACTCATGTATTATATTTTATTTTATTTAGCCATTACTTATTGATTTACTTTACTTTTTAATAAGTCATATAATAGTTAGGAGGAGGAGTCCATGTCCACTTTAATACAAAAACATATTTAGACTGAAGCAGAACTGAACCAGGTCTAAACCAGGACTAAGCCAGGAATAAAACAAGACTAAACCAGGTCTAAACCAGGTCTAAACCAGGACTAAACCGGGACTAAACCAGGTCTAAACCAGGTCTAAACCAGGACTAAACCAGGAATAAAACAAGACTAAACCAGGACAAAACCTGGACTAAAACAAGACTAAAACATGACTAAAGCAGGACTGATCAGAACTAAACCAAGACTAAAGCAGGACTAAAACATGGCTAAAGCAGGACTAAAACAAGACTAAAACACGACTAAAACACGACTAAAGCAGGAATGATCAGGACTAAACCAAGACTAAAGAAGGACTAAAACCTGACTAAAACATGACTAAAGCAGGACTGAAACAGAACTAAACCAGGACTAAAGCAGGACTGAAACAGAACTAAACCAGGACTAAAACAGGACTAAAGCAGGACTGAAACAGAACTAAACCAGGACTAAAACATGACTAAAGCAGGACTGAAACAGAACTAAACCAGGACTAAAACATGACTAAAGCAGGACTGAAACAGAACTAAACCAGGACTAAAGCAGGACTAAAGCAGGACTAAACCAGGACTAAAGCAAGACTAAAGCAGGACTAAAACAGGACTAAACTCGGACTAAACCAGGACTAAAACAGAACTAAAACCGGACAAAAGCAGGACAAAAGCAGGACTAAACCCGGACTAAACCCGGACTAAACCGGGTAATATTTAGCAATTTGCTAAATAATCTTTGAAGTAGTTTAGGTTTATTTGCACACTTTTTCAGACTTGTTAGAGCTTTAACCATGTCATAGTTGTTTCCCTTCTTTTTTACATCATGAATGCAGCTATTGTCTGTCAAGGATTAAGAAAATAAACCTGGAGATAAAGTGAGTAATGACTTATGAAAAGAAACAATTAAAAATACTCAGGCATAAATCACTCCAAGTACAACATCAGGTGAATAAATGGTGAAGGGAAACAATTATAACAATCATAACAATTATAACAACTATAACAACTTTAATTATAATATAAGCTCTGAAAAGTCCATGTCCACTTTAAAACTAAAACATATTTAGACTGAACCACGACTAAAACAAGACTAAAACAGGACTAAACCGGGACTAAACCAGGACTAAAGCAGGACTGAACCAGGACTGAACCAGGACTGAACCAGGACTAAAACAGGTAATATTTAGCAATTTTTTTCAGACTTGTTAGAGCTTTTAACCATGTCATAGTTGTTTCCCTTCTCTTTTACGTCATGAATGCAGCTATTGTCTGTCAAGGATTAAGAAAATAGTAGAGTAATGACTTATGAAAAGAAACAATTAAAGATACTCGGGCATAAATCACTCCAAGTACAACATCAGGTGAATAAATGGTGAAGGGAAACAATTATAACAACTATAACAACTTGAATTATAATATAAACTCTGAAAAGTCCATGTCCACTTTAAAACTAAAACATATTTAGACTGAACCACGACTAAAACAAGACTAAAACAGGACTAAAACACGACTAAAACAGGAATGATCAGGACTAAACCAAGACTAAAGAAGGACTAAAACCTGACTAAAACATGACTAAAGCAGGACTGAAACAGAACTAAACCAGGACTAAAGCAGGACTGAAACAGAACTAAACCAGGACTAAAACAGAACTAAACCAGGACTAAAACAGGACTGAACCAGGACTAAAACAGGTAATATTTAGCAATTTTTTTCAGACTTGTTAGAGCTTTTAACCATGTCATAGTTGTTTCCCTTCTCTTTTACGTCATGAATGCAGCTATTGTCTGTCAAGGATTAAGAAAATAGTAGAGTAATGACTTATGAAAAGAAACAATTAAAGATACTCAGGCATAAATCACCCCAAGTACAACATCAGGTGAATAAATGGTGAAGGGAAACAATTATAACAATCATAACAATTATAACAACTATAACAACTTTAATTATAATATAAGCTCTGAAAAGTCCATGTCCACTTTAAAACTAAAACATATTTAGACTGAACCACGACTAAAACAAGACTAAAACAGGACTAAAACACGACTAAAGCAGGAATGATCAGGACTAAACCAAGACTAAAGAAGGACTAAAACCTGACTAAAACATGACTAAAGCAGGACTGAAACAGAACTAAATCAGGACTAAAACAGGACTAAAACAGGACTAAAACCGGACAAAAGCAGGACAAAAGCAGGATAAAAGCAGGACTAAACCCGGACTAAACCAGGTAATATTTAGCAATTTGCTAAATAATCTTTGAAGTAGTTTAGGTTTATTTGCACACTTTTTCAGACTTGTTAGAGCTTTTAACCATGTCATAGTTGTTTCCCTTTTTTTTTACGTCATGAATGCAGCTATTGTCTGTCAAGGATTAAGAAAATAGTAGAGTAATGACTTATGAAAAGAAACAATTAAAGATACTCAGACATGAATCACCCCAAGTACAACATCAGGTGAATAAATGGTGAAGGGAAACAATTATAACAATCATAACAATTATAACAACTATAAACAACTTTAATTATATATATAAGCTCTGAAAAGTCCATGTCCACTTTAAAACTAAAACATATTTAGACTGAACCACGACTAAAACAAGACTAAAACAGGACTAAAACACGACTAAAGCAGGAATGATCAGGACTAAACCAAGACTAAAGAAGGACTAAAACCTGACTAAAACATGACTAAAGCAGGACTGAAACAGAACTAAATCAGGACTAAAACAGGACTAAAACAGGACTAAAACCGGACAAAAGCAGGACAAAAGCAGGATAAAAGCAGGACTAAACCCGGACTAAACCAGGTAATATTTAGCAATTTGCTAAATAATCTTTGAAGTAGTTTAGGTTTATTTGCACACTTTTTCAGACTTGTTAGAGCTTTTAACCATGTCATAGTTGTTTCCCTTCTTTTTTACGTCATGAATGCAGCTATTGTCTGTCAAGGATTAAGAAAATAGTAGAGTAATGACTTATGAAAAGAAACAATTAAAGATACTCAGACATGAATCACCCCAAGTACAACATCAGGTGAATAAATGGTGAAGGGAAACAATTATAACAATCATAACAATTATAACAACTATAACAACTTTAATTATAATATAAGCTCTGAAAAGTCCATGTCCACTTTAAAACTAAAACATATTTAGACTGAACCACGACTAAAACAAGACTAAAACAGGACTAAAACACGACTAAAGCAGGACTAAAGCAGGACTAAAGCAGAACTAAAGCAGGACTAAACCAGGACTAAAGCGGGACTAAAACAGGAATAAAACAGGAATAAAACAGGACTAAATTAGGACTAAATTAGGACTAAACCAGGACTAAAGCATTACTAAACCAGGGTTAGTCCAGGACTAAAGCAGGACTAAACCAGGACTAAAGCAGGACTAAACCAGGACTAAACCAGGACTAAACCTGGACTTGAGAGTGAGAGAGAGAACGCCCGTGTCCACAAAGCTCAATTGGGTGACGGCTGTGCTTAGCCCGTTTTAGTTCTGGTTCAGTCCTGGTTCAGTCCTGGTTCAGACCTGGTTCAGTCCTGGTTCAGTCCTGGTTCAGTCCTGGTTCAGTCCTGGTTCAGTCCTGGTTCAGTCCTGGTTCAGTCCTGGTGTCATCTCAGTCTCTCAGGTCTCTCTATAGGACAGTAGTGCAGACATCATGAGCCTATGCAGGTTGTTTTCACCATTGCCAGTAGCTCCGGTTTGACATTTAAGTTTAGGCTGTTTAATATTTGTTATTTTTCATATTTCACGTCGGGGGAAGTGGGTGGACGGCGCACCCCCACGTACCACGCCCACTACACCCCTGAATAAAGTGTTTGTGCTGTTGTTGCAGATCACACCGTCCTGATTGCCGTGTTGGTGTCTGTGCTGGCGGCCGTTATCATCGTCACCATAATCTCTGTGTGCATCTGTAAACACAAAAACAAGTAAGTCTTCTGTCAGGACACACACGTGAGCAGGGCCGCACCTGTCCTCCTCCTACACCGTCCTCTCAGCTCCAGCGGGTTTGCTGCTGCAGGGTGGAGCTTTGTACTGTTCTTATTGGGTTGTGTAGAAAAGAAGAGACAGAGTAGCAGTCTAACTTGAGTTTTACACCTTTATCAATCTGGGATGGCTAATCCTAGAGACTTCTATGGCCAGTTATTGATTTGTTCTGCTGTTTATTTGTTGCAGCTCAGGCCCTTTCATCAATCAATCATTAAAGCACATAAAAAGTGAAATGCAATAATAATACACGCATCAAGAATGTCGGACTTACGGTCATTGCACAATTCATACTGGGAAGGATTCTCAGAAAAAGTGAGGATCAAACTGCCATGTTTGTTTTCCCAGTGGGATGTGTCTATTGACAAAGTCGATCTTTTCTAGTTTTTTGAACCATATCACTTTTGTTTCTGGTTCTGATATTATCATATTTTTGTTTTGGGATTCAGACATCGTAATTGTGTGGTTGTTGGATCCTAAAAGCGGAAAACATCTTGAGAAATTAGTTTGTGAACTCCATAAATGCAAAAGGGAATCAGATGTGTGTGACTGCAAACCTCCGTTCAAACTATTTCTCTTCCCAACGGAATTGAAATCCTGAGTTTGCAGTGAACATTTTATATGTGGAGCGTCATCAAAGCGGGATCGTGTTTGTTAATCGAGAGGTGCAGAAGACAAACAGACTGAGCTGCACTTTCTTGTTCTTGTGGTTTTACAGCAACATCACGTCTTGGTCTCTTTGCAGTGGAAGATGTTTCTTGGTGAACAGTTGGTGCCTTTCGCTTTGGCGTTGACTTTTTAAATTCGTAACCAAGGTTGAGCGAGGGATCGGGATTTTGCTTTGTTGTCTCTCCACACACAAAATGTTTGCTGCAAACTCGGGATGTCAAAGGCAGTCAAAGGTTTCCTTTTTCGTCTTTCACGTGGATCAATCCTGCCCATTGCCATCGCCTTCACCTTTCACTATTTTTCTATTCTGTTTGGAAGAGAAACAGTTTGAACAGAGGTTTAAGTCACACACATCTGATTCCCTTTTGCATTTATGGAGTTCGCAAACTAATTTCTCAAGCCATTTTCTGCTGTTAGGATCCAACAACCACACAATTACAATGTCTGAATCCCAAAACTAAAATATGACAATATCAGAACCAGAAACAAAAGTGATATGGTTCAAAAGACTAGAAAAGATCGACTTTGACAATAGACACATCCCACTGGGAAATCAAACATGGCAGTTTGATCCTCACTTTTTTGGAAAATCCTTTCCAGTATGAATTGCGCAGTGACTGGAAGTCCGAGATTCTTGATACATGTACAGAAAAGCAAACAAAGTCTCAGTGCAGCTCAGCAGGTAGAACCATCAGATCCAGGGCAGTGTGAGGGGAGCAACAGCCCTCAGGACAAATGTGTCCCTTCTCTGTCTCCTCTGTGCCCTCTGTACTGTGGGTGGCAATGCGTTTCATCTGGTTCTTCTTCCAGGTCACAAATTTATGTAATACACTCGCTGAAGCCGCGTCCTAGTGGGTGAGACAAAACTCAAAGTTGTGGTATTTTTGGGCGATTTCTGGGAGCATCCTGTACCGGTGTTGGGATGATCCATACTGTAATACTGATAATAATAAGGTTGTGGCACTTACTTTTTGGGCAATTTCTGGGCACATCCTGTACTTGTGTTGGGATAAACCATAAAATAATGATAATAATAATGTTGTGGCACTTACTTTTTGGGCAATTTCTGGGCACATCCTGTACTTGTGTTGGGATAAACCATACTATAAAAATTATCCACTCTTTTACTACTCACCAATTCACCAACCATGTCGCATACTGTTGTCTCACTGTCAGTCGTGTACTGTGTTTTTTTTAATTGTGTTTACGACTAAGTGCGTCCTATCAAGTGAGCTTTGTGTTTAGTGAGGCTACATGTGAGTAAACGGCACATTTTCAGGAGCCTGTGATCAATACAAATGTTCATGGTCCTGTTTAGGAGTTTGAATTTCAGATGAGAGAGACTGAAAATTGTAGGTTAATACTTAATAATAAAGGATTACTCAAATGTGCATGAATGAAATGAAACAAAACACAACTCCACAATTCGTGTATCATTCGTTCATTCGTTTTTCAATATAAAACCACAAATAAGAAAACAAAAAACAGCTATTTTCTTCATTATTTGTCTCCAAAACCAAAATGAAATTAATGAAAAACAATCTGTTTTTGTTTTTTTGTTTTTTTTCTTTGTTTTATTTTGTGTTTAAATAAATAATGGAAAAAATGGATCATGTCCGTTTCCTGTTTCTGTGACTTGAACTGCGATGCCGGACTAAACCAGGACTAAACCAGGACTGAACCAGGACTGAACCAGGACTAAACCAGGACTGAACCAGGACTGAACCAGGACTGAACCAGAACTAAACCAGGACTAAACTAAACCAGGACTAAACCAGGACAGAAGCAGGAGTGTGGAGAGTGGCCCGGACAAGTCGGGTAATCAGGAAACCGGGACCAGACTAGGATCAGACCAGGACTGAAACCGGGATTCAGACCGGAACTGAGACTGGGACCAGACCAGGACTGAGATCTGGTTTAGTCCTGGTTCAATTCTGTTTTAGTCCTGGTTTAGTCCTGGTTCAGTCCGGCATCGCTGTTTAAGTCACGAAAACGGGAAACAGACATTATCTGTTTTTTCCATTTTTCACACAAAATTAAAAAATGAAAAAAACAAATTGTTATTCATTTTCTCATTTTGGTTTTGTTTTTTTTTTCATTTTGTTATTTTTGGTTTTATATTTAAAAACTAATGAACGAATGATACACGGATTCTCCACGTATGTTTTTGAGGAGGTAACAACATTATAACATGACTTATACATAACATATCAGAACATGATTTTGTCTAATATAGGACCTGAATTTGAGTAACAGAGATTCAAACTGAGCAGCTTCACAGGTTATTTTTTGAATAATGGCTCACTTGATAGTACGCACCCATGTTTGTGTCGAACACTGAAGGCTTCATAGTGTCCCTCTGTGTCCTCTCCACAGGAAAAAAGACAACGACAAACTGCTCAGCCTCAAGACCACAGGTAAGGAGTGAAAGTGGATATTTGGATCCCATTAAAATACTTTATAACTCTGTATTTCATAGTTAATGCATCACATGCATTATAGATTCTTACTGAAGACACCAGAACTATGAATGACACAAGTGGAATGTAGTGAACAAAAAAAATGGTAACACTTTATAATAACTACACCTTATTTAGCCTTAATAAAGCATGAACAAAGACTTAATTAATAATGATTCACACTTAGTAACTACTTAATTACTACCTGAATTAGCACTTAATTAGCACTTAATTCACCTGTGCTGTAAATAGTTACTCATAAGTATTTCTTACTTAATTACTCATGAACTAACCATTTGTGTGTGCATTTGTAAATGTATATTTAAGTCCAAATTTGAGCATTTATTAATGATTAGTAAACCATGAGAGAATGATTTACTAATAATGCATTATTGTTTCTCTGGAATTTGACCAACCTTAACAAGTGCTTAATAAAACATAATTAATCTTCACTTTAGAAAAGCTCTCAGAAAGACTTAACTAACAGATAACAGCTGCCTGAATGATCATTGTATTGCATTATTAGTAAATCATTCTCTCATAGCTTACTAATCATTAATAAATGCTCAAATTTGGACTTAAATATACATTTGTAAACATGCAAATGGTTAGTTCATGAGTAATTAAGAAGTTTTGAGTAACTATTTACAGCACAGGCAAATTAAGTGCAAGTTAAGTGCTAATTCAGGTAGTAATTAAGTAGTTACTAAGTGTGAATCATTATTAATTAAGTCTTTGTTCATGCTTTATTAAGGCTAAATAAGGTGTAGTTATTATAAAGTGTTACCAAAAAAATTAATTCCTAGATAACTTTTAGATGGAAAAAAAAAAAAACATTCAAAATAGACTTTAGCCTTTGCTTTACACCCTAGTTTGCACTTTTGGTATTTTTGACTCTGACGCAGCTGTGAAGTGAAAACCATTTCAGGAGACTTCAGAGGCTAGATACAGTTCCTTTCATTTCAAACGACACTATTATATGAGTTTTACATTTCCAGAACCATTTTTATTCTGTAATTTGAATGTATGTTTTCCTTTTCTCAGATCACCCTTATTCCAACATGGCCGAGGAAAAAGACGACAAGGAAAAGGTGACGCCCATGTGAAGAGTGACCCCTCCCCCTCTGTACTAAAGACACAATAAACGCCTCATGTTCATCCTGCTCCATTATTTATTATTGTGTGTGGATTGTGTGTGCCTGATCGATGCATATTAAAATATTGTTATAATATTGTCTGTTAAATCATCTCTGCGTTTTTCATTGTGTAGAAGTCATTGAATGTAACATGAATTCTGATGTGTTTATATTGATTTGAGTGTTTTTATTGTTATTTAATTAGGCTACATTTCGGATAGGGTTGTTAAAAGTATAGAACATCAGATACTAATTGATACTGAAATTAGAGAATGTTTAGGCAGGAATCAGTATTAAAAAAGTCCCGTTGACAGGACAGAAATGAGCGTTTGAAGAGCTTTAGAATGATGTTGAGCTGTGTCAGTATGGAAGTATAAGAGCACAGATGGTCCAGGAGCCAGACCCCTCCACCTCCATTATTTGACTTTTTCTCACTATGATTTTCCTTGAGTCACGTGAGGTTGGGACCTTCTGTTTCGACTCAGCCCCGTTCAGTCTCAGGACCTAAAGCCCCTTCTGTTTGACCCACCTAATGTGCAATATGTGTTAAAAGTGCTGCTATAGTCACATACACAATCACATAGTTGTGAAATTTGGAACAAAGGATCCTGACATTATTAGGAATACAACAATATAACCTTACAGGGGTTTATGTATATCTGTTTACAGTTATTAGACCATATAGAAATAAATATTTATAAAAGCATTCTCAAGGACAAATCCTCTCCACAAATTATTATAGTCAGGCTGGTGCCACCTAGTGCCTCCGCTCAATTTCCATTCTCTCCAGTGACTAGGTCAGGAATCAGAATACACTAGATGGTTCGCAAAAACCCCGGAAGTGTGAGTTCGGGCACCAGCCAATCAGTGAAGACACATACTTTCTGTGTTGACAACGACTCCCGAGATCAATGATTTAAAGCCAAAACAAAGAAAATGGTGAATTTGATCAAGGGGAAAGACGTTATTGTCCTTCTTCCTACGGGATTTGGGAAAAACTTAATATACCAGTTAGCCTTGTTAGTGGTGCATTACATATGTCATGACCAAACAGCAGCGACTGGTTAAATAAAAAAGTACCCGCCTACTGTCAAGTGAACGAATCCTAATGTTGTGAGGTCAGACGGTTTGTATGAAGTGAAACTGGCTGATGAATCAGGCTAATGGAATTACACTTTCATATGTAAGTAGAAAACTGCCTCAGTTTATCATCTTCAAATGAAGCCCAAGATGAGCTGTGTGTCTCCAGCAGACCACCTGCTCTAACACAAATAATGTTCCACATCCCAAAACCCACAGAGAGAATGTATGCAGATTCAATAGAGAAACTGGCACATTTCAGGATCAAAATTCAACTTCACTTTCATGGATTTGACTCAAACTTGGCACTATTCATGTTCATATCTGAAAGGTTATCAAAGTGAAATTTGTGTATCTTTTATACTTTTTATACAATATCAAGTCTTTTTTAGACAATATGTTATGAATGTGTAAGATGAATGTAAGACATGTTCATTCACATCATTCTATTACAGTTTAATGACTTGTTATTTATCAAAATCACACATAATTATGTGTATTTTCATTTCATGTGCTCCTGTCTTAGGTGTAACTCTGTTATCTGAACTACAGTGAGTAATAATGTTGTAAACAGCTCCTTGTGTTAGATGAATGAACGGTGAAATGTGCCATAAAACCTTTGATTGTGATGTGAGTCAGTCACCATCCTCCAAACACAAAACAACAGGATGGCCATTCAAACTGGAGCCGCTTCACTCTGACTTCAGATGGTGCCTCCATGCACACGCACACTTTGTGACACGATTATGACATTTGGTTCAAGTGATCCTCACAGGAGGGGTAGGATAATCTCTTCGTGACATCAAAAGGCTGAACAGAGCATTTTGAGCTTTGGAGATGCATAAAAAAGACAAATAATAAATTATAAAACTAGTGGCTAATGCTCACGAGCTTGATTGTAATTTGATAACTGACAGAATAGACGCATCAAGAATCTCGGACTTCTGGTCACTGCGCAATTCATACTGGGAAGGATTTTCCGAAAAAGTGAGCATCAAACCTCCATGTTTGTTTTCCCAGTGGGATGTGTTAATTGACAAAGTCGATCTTTTCTAGTCTTTTGAACCATATCACTTTTGTTTCTGGTTCTGATATTGTCATATTTTAGTTTTGGGATTCAGACATCGTAATTGTGTGGTTGTTGGATCCTAACAGCGGAAAACGGCTTGAGAAATGTGTTTGCGAACTTCATAACTGAAAAAGTGAATCAGATGTGTGTGACTGCAAACCTCTGTTCAAACTGTTTCTCTTCCCAACGGAATTGATAAATAGTGAAAGGTGAAGGCGACAGGCAGGACTGATCCACGGGAAGGACCAAAAAGGAAACCTTTGACTGCCTGAAATAAATCATCCCGAGTTTGCGGAGTCCCGTTTGTTAAGTGAGAGGTGCAGAAGACAAACAGACTGAGCTCACACTTTCTTGTTCTTGTGGTTTCACAGCAACATTAATTACATTAACGCAATATTAATGCTTTGGCATTGACTTTTTAAATTCATAACCTGAGGTTGAGCGAGGGATTGGGATAATGCTTTGATGTTGCTCCACATACAAAATGTTCGCTGCAAACTTGGGATGATTTAAGCAGTCATAGGTTTCCTTTTTGGTTCTTCCTGTGGATCAATCCTGCCCATCACCTTCACCTTTCACTATTTTTCATTTCCGTTGGGAAGAGAAACTGTTTGAACAGAGGTTTGCAGTCACACATATCTGATTCACTTTTGCATTTATAGAGTTCACAAACAAATTTCTCAAGCCGTTTTCCACTGTTAGGATCAAACAACCACACAATTACAATGTCCAAATCCCAAAACTAAAATATGACAATATCAGAACCAGAAACAAAAGTGATATGGTTCAAAAGACTAGAAAAAGATTGACTTTGTCAATAGACACATCCCACTGGGAAAACAAACATGGAGGGTTGATGCTCAGTTTTTCGGAAAATCCTTCCCAGTATGAATTGTGCGATGACCAGACATCCGAGATTCTTGATGCGTGTATTATTTAACAGTAAAAACCTGCTCACCTTTCTGGTCAGATTGTGTTCATTAAAACTCAGATTAAAGTCTAGTTTGAGTAACAGGGCTTCAGACAGAGCAGTGCAATTTTGCCAAGTTAAGCAAAACATAACTCCAAAACAGATAAGCAGTATGAGCAGGAAGTATGTAGTTAGCATACTAGTTGTTGTTGTTAGCTTTAGCGTCACAACAAAACTCCGCTCTGGGCTCTGAAAGTTGCCAAAGTTGTGTTCTAAACTCACTTCTAAACTTGAAACCAAGAGAGATGCAACATGGGAAATGTAGTGTTTTACATTGATTTATTTTTTGTTATCTTTTGGACAGAAGAGCCCACCGTCCTCCTGAAACGAGAGCAGAAACAAAGTCCAAACTCAAGTGGTTCCACATGAAATTATTACAATCCCTTCAATCGGTCCAAACGTGTGACGATGGAAAAACAAGTCATCAGTTCATTTAAAAGGAGACATGTTATGATGTTTTTAGCAGTTTGATCTCAGGTTTTAGGTGCGCTGTACGTGAAATGCATGTTTAAAGGGCTCATATGAAGCTATTTTCAGAGCTGTTATAATGTAGGTTTCGTCATCACGGTCTGTTTTTTTTTTCTTTTTTCTTTGTTTTAAGTCTAGATTTTTTATTCTTTTTTTTGTATTGATTGCTTATTTCATTTTATTTAATTTCTTTTTTTTTTTTTCCTTAATTTGTTTTTCACTTATTTAGATTATTATTATTATTATTATTATTATTATTATTATTATTTTAGTCTCAATTTTTATTTTCTTGATGTTCTTGGCACTGGAATTTCTCCGTTTTCCCTTTCACAAACCCTGCACATTTAGGCTCTCAAACTGAAAACACTCTGTTCCACCCTGTGATGTCATATGGTAAAGAAGTGCAGAGTGTTTTTAAACTCCATACACCTTCACTAGAATCATTTGGATCATTTCAGCTCTAAAATTGCCAATCTCCACTGAACTAAAAGGTACACAGCAAAAACTGGAGTGTTTAAATTTCAGAGTAAAATATTTCAAAATTTTAACACAAAAAGTCTTATTTTAACTATTTGAAAGTTAAATGGGGGTTTGAGTTGGAGATAGTTCATATGGTTGAAGTTAATTCAACTTCCATAGTGATACTTTAACTTCCACTAGTGTTAATTCAACTTCCACTAGTGTTAACTTAGCTCCTCCCACCAACCACTTCAAACTCTCGTGAGATAAGACCAGTTTGAATCAGTTTTTTTCATAATTTCATCTTAAATTAACTCAAATTAAGTGTAACAATAAAACACCTGTGTGTTGTTTAGTTAAATCAGGATAACTCTACAAAGTGTTATCCGTTTACTCTCAAAACATTCATATAACTCTTGATTTTGGGGTTAAACAGGAACTTTGGTCCAGCGTTACTTAATTAACATTAACAAATTGTTAAATTAATTCTAGAACAGACTGGACTCATATAAACCCTGAGAAAATTGATTCTGTAAGAGTCAATTTTAACTCTCCACTTTTTGCTGTGTAGCTGTTCGCTTGAAAACTACCACTACATGACATCACAAGGTGGAATAGAGCATTTAGAGGTTTGGAGATGAGGAGAGAACAACATTATAAGCTCACATGAGTCAGTTTTGTGTAATACAGGAGCGTTAAAGTCACTAAAAATGTGAAAATGAGTGAATTATGGAACTTTTCACTTGTCTCCATGGCGATGTTATTGTTTTCCACAGTCCGGCATTAAACGTATCTATCTTGCTTTCACTCTGTTGTAGGTAGTTTTATTCCTAAATAAATAAAGTATCAGTTCTTGGCTCACCTCTCCACAGAGGTGACCTATAACTCGCTCTGGTGTCGCCTGCTTGTCTCTATGGAGATCTACAAATAAATGCCATAGTGAATATTCCAGGTGCAACAAAATCATCTCCGTGGA